ACATAGCCCCAAGCTAGGCCGCCGAACATCAAAATATCCTGCGTTTTACAGTGTTTTTTTTGCTGTTCCCATTTTTCGGATCTTTTGGCTCAACATGAATCAACATGAGGCCAACATAGCCACAAGCTGGGCCCACATTGCCCGCAAGATAGGCCAACATAGGCCAGCATAGCCACAAAATGGGCCTACATAGTTGGGCCCCTGGCCGGCTGTCGCGCGTAAGCGCTTAAATCCGGCGATGCCGTCCGGTGGTGGTGGCTAAGCATAGCTTTAGCTACCCGGGGGCGCGCCCCTGCCGCCGACCCTCTGCCGACCCTCCCCGAAAATCCTTCAGCCTGCTGGGGTTTTCACGTTTTTGGGGGTTCGGGGTGGGAAAAAAGATGGTAAAATTTGAAGATGCGTTTTGGAGGTCCTAAAATCGGAAAAAAAATGCCGTTTTGACACATTTTTCGGGCGATTTTTCGCTTTTCGGAAGTCACAAAATGCTGTAAATTACAACATTTTTGCGTTTTAACGTCGTTGGCGGGAGCCATGCAAAAACGCAGAAAATGCTATAAATACCAGTACTTTTTGGACCCGAGATGCACAAAACACTGCAAATACCAGTGTTTTTGAAAGCCAAGCAAAAAAACGCTGTAAATTACAGCATTTTTGGCGGGTTGATCGCAAAAAATGCTGGTATTTACAATGTTTCTGCAATTTCAAGCAAACGTGGAAGGCACGAAACACTGTAAATAGCGGTGTTTTGGCAACTTTTGGACGCCGAAACGCTGGTATTTACGCAGTTTTTTGCTTGTGACGGGGCCACTCCCCTGTAAATTACAGCATTTTTTGCACTTTTTGGACCGATTTTTTGTCTTGCTGCATGTAACAAACGCTGGTATTTACACGTTTTTCAAAAAATCGAAGATCGTGATGTGAACGAAACTCTGTAAATAAGAATGTTTTAGCCACTTTCGGGGACTAAAACTGTTGTATTTACACGGGTTCTTGCCCTCTCACAGCGCAAAATGCTGTAAATTACAACACTTTGTGCGCATAGGCATAGGCCAACATAGCCTCAAGATGGGCCAACATAGCCCCAAGCTGGGCCAACATAGCCCCAAGATAGGCCGCCGACCCTCAGCATGTCATGTTCGCAAGTTCAGATGACATCCCCCTCTCTCTTTCCCTCCCCCGACCCCTACCGGCGTCGCCGGTGTGCGAAGCTCTACAATAATTAATCACCTTTGCACGAACATCCGGAATGACCCAGCCTCCAGGTGACCGTAGATACTTGTGCCGGTTCCGATCCGCTCCACTTCGAAGCGTGATCCTCCATGGTCACCTGGATTTCTCTGATAGTCAACGATTTCTGAACATTGTGCAGCTTGAAAGATTTCGGGATCTAGAAATGAATACAAATGGATAGATTGCTGCGTGCCAACAATGTATTATATATATATATATGGTGCAGCGTTGGCCCCCCCCCCCCCCCCCCCCCCCCAATGGGTATGGGTGGACAGTATCGTCTGGTTTTTCTGGCCCCCCCCCCCCTGTGGCCTGTGGTGGTGGTATGGTTCTTCTGGTCCCCCCCCCCCCTGTGGCCTGTGGTGGTGGTATGGTTCTTCTGGTCCCCCCCCCCTGTGGCCTGTGGTGGTGGTCTGTTGGTATGTTGGTATGTTGGTATGTTGGTATGTTGGTATGTTGGTATGTTGGTATGTATGTATGTATGTATGTATGGAATGTATGGAATGTAAGGTAAGGTAATGTAAGGTAAGGTAAGGTAAGGTAATGTAAGGTAAGGTAAGGTAATGGTATGTATGTATGTATGTATGTATGTACGTAGGTATGTAGGTAGGTAGGTAGGTAGGTAGGTATGTAGGTATGTATGTATGTATATACACCACCACAGGGGCATCATACCCCCCCCCCATCCCATGGGGGGGGGGTGGGGCCCGGGGGGGTGGGGCCGGGGGGGGGGTGGGAACACGGGACACGGGACCATATTAGATATATATATATATCAAACATCGAGAATCAGAACATATTCGATGTCAATCTCTCAGTTTTTTGCTGGGTGAAGTGGAAATTCAATGTTTTATTCATGTTTTCCCAACATGCTAAGGCTAAGGTTCTTGCAGCTTCGTTTAATTCCATCTTTGCAAGCCTCAGCATTCCAGGAGCGAAGAAACTCCTGCGATCTTCTCAGCAACGAGCTCGGGGTGGCACTTCTCCTCTGCTTGCCTCAAATTTGGACAACAAGGCATATGCAGATATATGCAGCATGAACCTCCCCCAGAACATCCCAGAACTATAAAACCAAATGGCAGCATCATCCAGATCACTGGTTTCTCAGTTTCTGCCAAATCAATCGTAAGCAACCCTCATAATTCATCATAATTCGTATTTTAAAAATCCTGCAGTACCCTTCACATTTGCACGCCGAATTTGTTTCCACCAAGTGCTTCACCTCAAGTCACCCTCATCGACCTGAGAATCTGCAGTGCTTGTGCTTGTGCAAAAAGATCTTGAAACACAAGCTGAAAGTCTTACAAGCACTGAAGTGTTGGCAGTGCAGGAATGATAATGAAAAGCACACAAACAAACCAACCAACCAATCAAATAAGCAGCAAACAAACAGTGAAGAAACTGACGAATAAGTGTGTCATTGTCGGGAGACCATCATGAATCAAAACAAATCTTGTCTGGAATTGCGACAACATGTTTACTACAAGTAGCTTTGGGTCCTTCGAGCAAAGTTCAAAAGGAGCCATGCCCTCCCGCATCCGAAGCACTATGAAAACGCGCTGGAAACTCTCTACTGAGAGTCCAACACCTGCTTTAATTGCTTCTTCCAGCACGGGGCCTCATCCGATGCAACGTTGATGGTTCTTGCGTCAGAAAGCAAGCTGTACAACACCGTATCGACCTACGGTAGAAACACAAAGACAAAGCAGTCCATACAGCAAGTGCGGATCAAAGCTTTCCAGGGTGCCTACTATTCTGTGCACTGTACTTGGGTCCGAAAAAAATGCAAGACGACGCACCGCACCCAAAGCCTTTGCTGACCAGATTATCTCTCATTGTCAGATGTTTCCAGGGGTATTTCGAAAGCAAAGTGCCTTTGCCTTGAGATCCCTTAATTAGTCAGTTTTTCAAGCTGACAGCTGCAGCAAGCTAAACGTGGAAAACATGCAAAACTATCCAGCGCAGAAGAATCTCAGCCTGTGTGTGTGTATGTGATTTACCCCTCCAGGCCAGGTGTAGCTTCACAGCAAAGCATAGCAAAGCAACAAGAAAATGGGAATTGAATTCATGGGTGTTCGAGTTAGAAAGGCACTTGCACTGTTGCAAAGCATAAGCATGCACTATTGTTTCACTTTTGGAAACACTGTAAATTGTTTGCGACGCAATTTTCTCCGGCAAGCAGGTTGGCATAATAAGCATACTTTAAGTTGCAAGAGTAGATTCTATACCCAAAATGTCTGCCGTGCCAACTACAGACCGTGCTCCATTGTGGCATTGAGCAGCTGGCGAAGTGTGCTGGAGGGATCTTCAGGGGACAGGTCACACACTGCCTCACCAGAAATGCGTGCGCTTTAAAATTGTTACAGGAACATCTGGCATGGTGTTCCTTTTTCTTGGATCAATAAGATAGCTCGGTGCTGCATTTTGTCCAACAGGCGGCTTGGCCCATTTGATTTGCTTTGCTGAACTGAACCATCCAGTGGACCCCCAGGCCCAAAGAAAAAACTGAAACATCCACTGCCCTTTGTGTGCTGGAGGCCTTCCATAGTTTCCATAGCAACGTTCAAACATTACATGCTTGATCATGCTGCTAGATGCTCTGCTTGGCCTCCTCCAACTCCAGGATCATCCATTCGGTATATGCCTGGAAATCTGATCACAGATGATCACAGATGATCACAGCTCAAATAGCTGGGCAATGCTGGGCACCAGGGTACGTTTTGAGCTTCACAGCTTGAGCACAGCTAAGCTCATATTGTTTTTGACAGAGTGGGGCAAATTTCGCAATGATAATGTGCCAGCAAGTTCTGGGCTTCTTTTTTTGCACCTACTGTGACCTTTGTTTTGTTTGCACCAAAGTGGTCGCATCTTAGGGCCAGTCATCAGCAGAGTATTCCTTTGTTTTGATTTGTTCCTCTCCGCTGAGTATTGGTGTCTCATCTTTTCTCATTAACTGTGTTTGTTGCAGCTGCAAGTATTTGGCATTCCTTTCATGCTTCTCCCTTCGAACTGGAGATTGGAAACACGTCTACTCACCGCTCTGAAGTCTCCAGACTTTGCCCGGGTCACATTCAAAAAACATGGCTAAAGTATGCTAAAGTCATGCCAAAGCTGGATACAAATCCCGTCCTCCGGATACAAATCCTGAAGCTTTCGCTTGGCGGGCAGGAAAAGTTCCTTGGGAGCACTCACTGCCTCAGCCATTCTTTCCAGTCCCCGTGATGTATCCTACAGATCCATAGGTTCCCAGAGCGAGAATCGAACAAAATGCGAACTAAATTAATTAAATGTAAAAAAAAAACAATCAGGCCGGCGCATTTGATTTCGATTGAATTTCCAAAAGTGGGAAATTGAATTGAGGCATAAAGTTTCCAGGCAAAGTCTTTCGCTGTTTGACGTGGTGAATGTTCTGAAATTCGATGTACTTTCGCCCTCACTTTACCCTGGTCATCCTGGTCCTAATTAGTAATCCAGCCAGGGAATATTAAAGGCAACCAGCTGGGCATTGCAGCATCTCCTGGGAAATTAGGCCCAGAATATTCCAGAACGAAGTCCGTGGGTGATAAGCTGCCGAAAATCACTGTGATTTCGATTCCTAGCATCTTTTGCCGGCAATGATTATTAAAATTCCCGGGAAAGCTCCATGTTGATCCATTTAATGTGCGTTTTTTTTGAATTGGAATTACCATCCCTGTGAACGGTTTTGTCTCGCAATGGGATGTTTGATGATGTTTGTGCGTCTGCATAGTTGCAAACCTTCTTTTCACATCTCAGCTTGCCACTTTTGCTTCCATCATCGCATCCCTGTCAGTCCGTGACTGAAAATGTCATGCACATGCCATGCTTTCCGGTCATACGTCGCTCTTCTTGATCTTGTGGTACTCTGGGCTACATTGCCAAGCCTGTCTCTTAAAAAATCTTCAAAACACATCCTGCCCTGTCAAACGTTTCGCAGTGGGCCTCAGTCTTTCCGGAAGGTAGTCTTTCGTGGCGCTCTCAAGCTCTAGGATCCTGAGCCTCCCAAAGCACCAAGTCGCGACTCTGACTACAGCCGCATTATACCAAGATTTGTCAAAGATGTTTCCCAGCCACACAGCCCTTTTGTAGCCTGTAATCCCCTTTTTCCACTTCTTCGATCTGAACTCGGTGTTCCTTTGCCTCAGCACTTCACTGGATTTCCCATCAGCCATGTTGATGCTACATTTTACGCGGTTGTCTGGAAGGTCCCAACATTGTCCACGCATTTCTGTAACACCTCCGCATCAGCGCCTTCAATGGCCTCACCTTAGCAACTTTGCATTGGCTTAGCGGCTTAGAGGATCAAAGTTGGAGGCATGGTCCAATGGTGCGATCCTTTGGACTCTTCGGATTCAGATTCAACGGATTCAACTGGAACTGGGCATCTCTGCGCCACAGTCTGTGTCCACAGTCTGTGTCCACAGTCGACTCTTCAGCTTCTATTTGGTGAATTTTGGTCAGACAAATTTCATCCCACTGAAGGTCAGTTGAGATTCGCAAGCAACCTGCTCTGCAGCAGAGTGGGGCTGTTTGAAAGCCATTTGATTTGCCTACCAACCAATTCTGAAAGGAACTTCACACAGGGTCAAAAGTAATTGTTTTCGACCGTCATTGCTAATCTCAATTACAACAATTCATAGATCATCATCCTTTGTATCACAGAATACAGTTGAAATTACAATATTTATATATAATTATATGTTTGCATATATATATATATACACAATATCTGTCTGTGGGCATGCTGGCACAGGGCGTCAGATCTCAGCCCCGCACGAAGTTCGAGAAGTGCCAAGCGGGTCTTTGGCTGAACCAAGTCCTTGCGCCGTGCGCCGAGGTACGCCGAGCAGTCGTTTGGGGGGATCTCCATGCTGGAACCACATTCGGGATGTCTGCATATATCATATATCATATATTATCGTATTTTACGTAAATTACAGGTTATACAATATACAATATGAATAATCCTGAGTATGTCATTGTGTCTGTACATGTTTGGTATGTCTACTATTGTCCAGTTTCATATATATATATATATATATTATATATTATATATATACGTATAATATCACTACCCTTTTAAGGGGGGGACGTACCCAAATTGCAAGACACAATTTGGAGGTTTTTGAGGGAGGGGGCCTGGTAAATGTCAGCAAGCATTTATTTTTTTAACTACGTTGTATTTGCAAAATTTCATTTTAGTAGGTCCCCTCGTTCTTTACTGGATGTCATTTATTTCTTAAAAAACGCAGGGGATCGTTCAAAATGTAAGATTCCAATTTTGAAAAAAATGCGAGAAAATGAAAAAAAAACATGTCTGCAAATAGCTGTAGAATTGCAGAAAATAAAAAATGCAAACTAAAAGTTTGTAGGACCCCAACTGCTTGGTATTTCCAATACATTCTACACTTTTTCTGCACTTTGTTTATCATTTCCACATGTAACATAGAGGTATAGAAGGTGTATTATTCCTTGCAAATTACAGGAAAATCCTTGAACTTCAAATAAATTTATTTACCTCCTATGGGAGAACAATGGAATGCAGGTGTAACTAAGACCATCATGTAGGTACATAAAGAGGGCTTACTATGGGGACCCCATAAAGTTTCATGAGGTCCGTTTGAGGTCCATTTGAGGTCCATTTGAGATCATTTAGGTGCTGAACTGGTGTTTCAATGTGTTTCATATTTTGTGCGAGGCTTCAAGTCTGTTAATCTTAAATCATGATGTATCATCAGGAATTGTAGGCCTCAGGTGTAGGCTGGTTACATGTTTCTATCTTAGTTTTACCTTCTTTTCCGAGCACTTTCTGCAAGGAACTACGGACCTCAGACATAGGTTGATTACATTCCCACAAAGACACCTCACAAACTGTTTACAAACTGCTTGCGGACATTTCACAATTTTTACCTCCCCACCCCTATCCGTAGAGTACGGGGGCGGGGGGGGGAACGGGGGGGGGGGGTACGGGGTAACGTATCTATTACGGACTTTCGACCCCCCTCCAAATGTAAATCTTCCGGGGCTCGGTTTTTGACGTGGGAGGTCTAACATACATATAGCCTTCCCCATCGGGAAAAAATACGAAGGGGTCAAAATTGTTGCTTACATTTTTTGAATGTCCCCCATGCTTACACCCCACGAAAAGGTTGGTGATTATATAATATATTATATTAATATTGACAATCCGCTGCGTCGGCGGGAGTTTATCTGCACTCCTTGTGATCTTCAGGCCATCCCATTTCTTTCGCTGTCGACAGCAACTTCCGGATAACCTTTGTCCAGCCAGGAAAAGTGCAAATTTGGAGGCCACTTGGGAGTTTGCATTATTCATGTTAGATATATAAAATATCATATAATATTATATAATAATCAAGCCTTGAAGGGATCTTAAGTCTTGCTGAGGGACTTTGCCGTTAAATTTCCAAACCCCTGGCTTCAAGGACTTAGGACGACTCCTCCGGGCTCTCAGTGGTGGCCACCATGGAGACCTGACGGTCAGCGGTCAGCCTATGGAGGACAGGGTGCTTTTCTGCTTGTTTAGCTAGTTTCGCTGTAGAATGTTGAAATATGTTAAAATAGAAAATAGTACGTATTTTGCTGTTTATGTTTTATATAATTAGTACAGTACATCAATTGTCTCTGTCAATTCAGTTCGAGCAAAACACACTCAGTTGGATTCAATTTGCCTGTGCAGTATCGCACATCATGGGAGAAATGATCCATCTCACTTCCAAACGGATATGATTTGTTACTTCGCGCGCAGTAGTGAGTGAATCATGGCATGTGTTCTGTTCATTGGTGAGAAGGTTGCATGAAGAAACTTGACACAACCTGCCTGAAGCTTCAAGAACGCTTGCTTCCCCATGAAGAGTTGTTTGTCCTGTTCCGCGTCCGTCGGACCCCTGGAGTTAAATCTTCAATTCGTCTTTCTTGTGATTCTTCAGCTGATTCTTGTGTTTCATGTTTCTTCCCTTGCCCTTCAGTCCGTCATACCAGCAGCTGTGCCCTCGTCAATGGCTCGCTCCAACATCTGGCAATGAATGGCTGATACTCTGCACTTCAGAACTTCACCCTGATCCGTGACATTAAGAAACAAAGGTCGAAAAAGCAAGTTGAGAAAATGATTGTGGTACAGGTTCTGAACGATTTCAGAACCAGCTACTGCACATGTGCCTGTTTGAAAACATTTCATGAAAGGGTTCAAACGTCTGGAGAAATGAGAGCAAATGGCTCCAGATTTCTTTTCACATTGCCCTTGCCTCTATATTCTCCAGCCGGCAACCTTCCCTGATCTCTGCTGCTGCTAGCTTCCTTGCTGCTTCCCGTAATGTCTCTTCCTGGATTGAAGCTACTGGCGCTCACACAAACAGCTGTTGATCCTGCTGCTACAGGCCTGAAGCTCTAGAACACAAAGCCGGCCTCCACCTTGGCTTCCGTTGCCTTTCTGAGACGCATCCGAATCTCCTGCGATGCAGAACAATGATTTTGAATCCTGAATCCTGAGGATTTAAAAGGTATGGAACAATGCGATTGTAATCTGTGATGGGGCTGATTGGGGCTGTATATTGTGGCGTTGCATGAATCCCATTTTGGTAATCACCCTTGAACATGGTAGTTTGTGCGTGGTTGCAGTACACCGCCTAGGATTGGAATGTGTGTGTGTGTGTCTGTGCCAGCCTCATCCTGTGTATGTCTGTGCCCTTGAATCCAACCTTCAAGTCTGGCTTCTTCAGGGAAACAGCCAGTTCCAACCTTCGCTAGCTTGAATCTGGATGAACAACATACTAAAACCGCCACTTTAAGGATTCGACTCAGTGTTAAGAAGACGCATGATGGTTTCTTTGAATGCACTTGTGTAGTAAAGAGTCTGGAAAATTGCGAATGTCAAAGAGTTTGCATTTTTTGTATAAATACAAACATAGTGCACCCGGTTTCACAGCCAAGATCAGGAAGCAAAGCGTAGAAGAAACATGAAGAAACATCGTCCGGCGTCAGCTGGAACCACTGAAAAATCTACAAACATTTGATCTTGAGGCTCCAGCTCACGCACCAAGCGCCAACCCAAGGTGATCTCTGACTCCTGCTCGCGACAACTCACCGCTGTTCTTCAGTTATACCGTCATCCTTTGTTCTAATCTGCGATTCAATCTCTGCACAACAATTCATCTTGCTCTTGATCATCTTGATTCTGCTACTTGAAACTCAAGTCTCAGTGGCGGATGGGACCATCATACTGCGGTACTGCTATGTGCAGAATTGTCTTTTGCTGCACTTTTTTATTGACAAGTCTTGGGTCTCTAATGGTCTTCGCCTCAAGCTTCTTCTTTTCTTGTCTCAGCTTGTCTCTTGTTGGTCGTGGTTCTACCAAGCACCAAACAGGACGTGTCCTCAACAGCTGCTGCTTCTGCCCCAGGTACAAGTTTCAGAAGCGACTCCAGGTCACGAGCCTTGCAGTGCAGCTGCCTTTGGAGACGAAAAATCCAAGGCCCCGAGGCGCCCCGAGGCTCCGAGGTCCCGAGGTTCCGGCCTCCATTGCATCCCTCATCTTTAAGAATGCCAGTCGTGTCTTGGCCTGCAGCTGTCATGCAGCTGTCACAGCTGTCGTTCTGTGTTCTGTGAAGGAGACAAAGCTCAACATAAAACCAAATAAGCCAAGCGTTTTCACAGTGCATCACAGCTTGGGAGACCCGGTAGCAATTCGAGGCTGGGGACCTCTGAAACCTTTTCTGCATCTGCATCGTCATTCTGATTCAGCGTCGCCTGGACCACACAGAAAATAACACGGTGTTGCCTGCTCTGAGCCTCCTGTATTACAGCAAAGTCAAGTGAAAGTGACCAAGTTGGCTCTACACAACCGAAAACGGTTAAAAACATCAGTCATTGAGTCATAGGACAAACAATTAGTCTTCATGGGTCATTAGATACATTAGATACAAGACTTTGTTGATCACTGGAAGGACGGCCATCCCTTGATGGCCTCACTGAGATCTGATTGCTTCGCAGCGCTTTGTCTTTCGTCCTCTTGATCTCCGGTTGTTTCCATCGGTGTCTCTGCAGACTCCGGATCTTGCTGCTCCTCCCAAGCAAGTACTCAATGTGGGTATGTCTGAAAATGGGGTATACCCCCAATTATAGCCATTTAGTAGGGATAATGATCATTAACCATTGGGTGTAGGGGTACACTATTTTCAGAATGGTTGTGCAGGACATGAAGGTTTGTTGGGAAAGTTGCTCGTCTCCAATCCTGGCTTGCATCCTGCGCCGTATCACCATCTGGTAGAAAACGTCGAACACCTGGTCGCTCCTGGTCCGGAAGGATTGGCAATGAAGAGCAGATGAACTGCCACCTTCCTGTCGCGGAATATGAATTGATGAATTTATCCCACCCACATGCTCCCAATAATTCTGTGACCTTCAAAAGGATATGTGACCGGTAACCAGCCTACTACCCAAAAATATCGGACAACCATCCCAACTGACCGACATCATCTGCCTCATTGGTTGCAGCATCCCATTTTGCAGCATCTTTCTCCCTTTGACCTGATACGGTTGACCGCTGCAACAATATCAATGATGAGGACCAACCAGATTCTGAAATGGAGCAATGAAACACCGAGGGGAAAGCCCGTCTTTCCAGAAGACTTTTTGCCCAGCCCTGCAGCAACCTTGTGCATTGGAAACGGAGAGAGCAATAAGGAGGGATCCGACATACATGAAACATCATAAAACATGGATGAAACATGACTAAAACATGCATAAACACGGTTGAAATCAGCTAAGCCGAGAACAACTTGCTCCAGAACGTGCTGGAGTTCTTCCGCGCATGTCTTGGAAGCTGAGAAGACCATCTCTCGCATCAGATATCGCTGGTAGGCCTCGCAAGAAGCTTGATCGTGATTCACTTAGCTTGTGAAAAAACATTCAAATTTAACGACAAACAAATGTATTTATACACGGTAAAACCGTATATGTCAATGTGTGATAATGTATGTGTATATATATATTATATACAGGGCACCCGCAGCTTGGGTAAGACATTTCACGCTGACGCTGACGACGCATTGTGACGACACATTGGCGATGTCCCCGGCCCCCCTGACGACGCATTGTGACGACACATTCCCTGACGACGCAATGCCCCCTGACGACGCATTACCCCCTGACGACGCATTGTGACGACACATTCCCTGACGACGCATTGCCCTCTGACGACACATTACCCCCTGACGACGCATTCTGACGACACATTCGCTGACGACGCATTGCTCCCTGACGACGCATTACCCCCTGATGACGCATTGTGACGACACATTCCCTGACGACGCATTGCCTTGCCCCCTGACGACACATTACCCCCTGACGACGCATTGTGACGACACATTCCCTGACGACGCATTGCCCCCTGACGACGCATTACCCCCTGACGACGCATTGTGACGACACATTCCCTGACGACGCATTGCCCTCTGACGACACATTACCCCCTGACGACGCATTCTGACGACACATTCGCTGACGACGCATTGCTCCCTGACGACGCATTACCCCCTGATGACGCATTGTGACGACACATTCCCTGACGACGCATTGCCTTGCCCCCTGACGACACATTACCCCCTGACGACGCATTGTGACGACACATTCCCTGACGACGCATTGCCCCCTGACGACGCATTACCCCCTGACGACGCATTGTGACGACACATTCCCTGACGACGCATTGCCCCCTGACGACACATTGCCCCCTGACGACGCATTGTGACGACACATTCCCTGACGACGCATTGCCCCCTGACGACGCATTATCGACGCATTGTGACGACACATTCCCTGACGACGCATTGCCCCCTGACGACGCATTGTGACGACACATTCCCTGACGACGCATTGCCCCCTGACAACGCATTACCCCCCTGACGACGCATTGTGTGTATATTATTGCCTGACGACACATTGCCTGTTGACAGGCTAGGCATGACGAGCAAGGACGCAGGCGTACTGTATTCTTTGTATGTGGGAAGATAAATAGAGGAATGTAGAGAGGAAGAGGAGCCGGAGGGCAGATAGGGATTTGGCCTGACCACCAAGGCTAGGTTATGTCGAAATATAAAGCGTAAAGGTAATTATCAAGATCGTGTGGCGTGCTTTTGCAACCTCAGTTGAAGATCCTTGAGGCAAGGATCAATCATTAAGTTGAAGTAGTAGAACCTTCTTATCTTCTTACCAAACCCAAACGAAGAGAGCGCCGGAGTGTTCCAGGAGAAAGCTCAGGAAGTTCAATGAAAAAGTATTGAGCGTGTAGCATTGAGAACATGTGGGAGTTGAGTGCGTAACATCAAGAGAGCGAGCAATATCAAGAAAAACCAAGCGAGCAATACCAAGAGAGCGTGTTGAAGGACCAAGAAAAACCTAAGAGTCTAGCATCCAGAACGTGTTGGAGGTCAGAGCGTAGCATCAAGCGAAGAACAAAAGAGCGTAGCAACTAGAGCGTCCTGGCGTGTTCCAGAACAAAGCTAAGAGCGTAGCAGGAAGAGCGTGACTTTCTCCAGACCGCAGCGTCAAGAGGCGGAGCGTAGCACCAACAAGAGCGCGTTGGAAGTTCCAAGAAAAATTATAAGAGCGTATCATCACGATTGTGGTGGACCGTAGCGTCAACAGCATCTTGGACGAGGTTCAGCGCGTAGCATCAAGAGAGTGTCAGAGCCGGAGCCAAGAACGTAGCATCAAGAGCGTGTTTTAATTCAATGCGTCACAAAAAGAAGCAAAAATAGCGCGCCATGCTTCAAGAGAAGCCAAGGGCGTAGCGTCAAGAGCGTGCTGGCACGTCCCAGGACAAGGCAAAGAGAAAGTATTGGAAGATAAAACACACCAAGAGCGTGTTGGAAGTTCCAATAGACAGCTAAGAGCGTAGCATCAAGAGCTTGCCGGACTGGCCCAGGAGAAAGCTAAGAGATGCTCAGAACGTAGCAGCAAAAGCGTGTCGGAAAACCCAAGAGTAAGCCAAGAGCGTAGCACCAAGAGCTTGTTCGAACTTCCAAGAGAAAATTAGCATAGCATTCAAGAGGCGACTGTCTCCAGAGCGTAGCGTCAAGGGCGTGCTGAAACGCCTCAGGTGAAGGCCAAGAGCGTAGCATCAAAAGAATTTTCAAAATCTCAAAGAGCAAGCCCAGAGGCTATAGCATCCAGAGCATTTCGTTTGTTACTCTTCCCTTTCGTTTTGTCTTCCCTTCTGTTCCCTACGTCGCTCCTTTCGTTTTAACTTCTTCTCCGTCCGTTACTTCCTCCCCATTGTATTTTCAAGGTTTGGGGCCTACCTGCAAACCAATTTCTAATAATTGCGAATTTGGGTGCTTATAATCTAAATGTGTTGGGGTGTCATGTGAGGTTACAGGTCAATATCTTCAGAGTGGCACCATCTATGCGAGTCCTATGGTGGGTCCTATGGTCGCTACTTGAGCTCGGCGCATGCCAGTCGGTTGTACAATGCTGGATAGTATGTCATCATGGATTGTTCACAAAGTTGGGGTCCATAAACCAACCCTTGGAACCGTGACCATGGTTCCGCCAGTTCCTGGAACTGGGGACCCAGTTCCTAACATGACAGGCCCTGGGACTTGTACAGAAAATATGCAATTGAACCAAACAAAGATGTCCGTTATACGGTGAAAACCCACCATGGACAAAAAAAATGTCCCTACGGTTTGCCAAAATAAAAACTAGATGCATATATGACATGCATATAGGGTTTGAGTGTATGCATGCTTTTCTCCCAAGTCGTTGGTGACAAAGTCGTCCTCGGAATTCGTCTTCGGGAATTCGTCTTCGGGGGGGAATTCGTCTTCGGGGGGCAATTCGTCTTCGGGGAATTCGTCTTCGCAGTTCGTCTTCGGGGGGAATTCGTCTTCGGGGAGCAATTCGTCTTCGGGGAATTCGTCTTCGGAATTCGTCTTCGGGGGGGAATTCGTCTTCGGGGGGCAATTCGTCTTCGGGGAATTCGTCTTCGGAATTCGTCTTCGGGGGGCAATTCGTCTTCGGGGGGCAATTCGTCTTCGGGGAATTCGTCTTCGCAATTCGTCTTCCGGTGGGCAATTGTCTTCGGGGGGCAATTCGTCTTCGGGGAATTCGTCTTCGTAATTCGTCTTCGGAATTCGTCTTCGTCTGCGGGTGGAAATGTCTTACCCGCACAGCGGGCTCAATGTATATATATATATATATATATTGCATATAGTAATATTTGCATGTGTATCATATCTACTGTACATATTAGTGTGTGATAGTGTCTGTGTGTGTGTGTGTCACTATGGCCATCGTTTTCAGTCGGTTTCCTAGACCAAACATGGTCTATCTGCCCATATCCCACCTCCTCATTCAGTTCCTGCAAGAAGCCCTTGCCAAGGTGTTCAGAGAGGACAAGTAAAAGAACTATCCGATGCATCGCGTGTTGCTTGTGGGTTTTGCCATTGCGGTGGCACCTTCCCAAAGTCTCGGATCTCATGCTTTCCACCTGAAGAGTCAATGGAGTTACGATATATCTTACAGCCCTGTATGGCAAAGTATTCAATGCATTCCACCATATATATATAATATATATAATCCTCTCAGATCTCTCAGTCTATTTGAGCGCAACACCAATTTCTCTTGCACGCATGAGGGCTGCAGCAAGCGTGTCTGCCTAAGTACATGTCAAATTCAGAGAAATGCAGCCATAGCTGTGCAAGCCTCCTGCTATCTTGTCAAACCAGGAACCAGTCCTTCTATTTGGTCAGCTTACACAATATTACAAGACCTAGCCGCCTAGCCCGAAGGCCACAAGTAGTTCATGTTTACACATCTTTGAGGTTCCTTTCTGGAATGTGTTTATCCTGCTCCTGAAATTACTCACTAAGGACCTTTGGCGAGAGATGCCAGAGAGTCTCTTAGATGTGTTTCGGTTTATGGAAATCAATGCTTTGAGGAGGAATACTAAATGCAGCTCAAGGATGCTATTGCAATTTATTTTTTTATATGTGTTTTTCATATTTATTCCATTTGCTGTTGGATGCTGTTGGTAGGGATTAGCTGCAACTGTTCAACTGCGCACTACCTATTGTTATCGTAACACCATTGCAATTCACAAGACTTCGCAGTCGTGCCACTTGTCTATGTCTCCTATGATGATAACATATGGCAGTGGGTCAAAACCTGGAAAACCCCTGGCGAACATCAAAATAGCTGGTATTTATGGCTGTTCATCCCCCGAAAAATGGTATGTATAGGTATTGATCCATAGCCATATCTGACTTTTCTTGTCAGCTTAAGTTGCAGAGCCATCCTCAATGTCCTTTGGGTCTTCGTCCTCCTGCTCGATCTCTTCCTCCATCCAAGCTCTGGGCTCTGAACGCGTCGTCAAGTGATGTCACAAGTAAGAAAATGTTCAAAATGCATCAAAATGCAACAATTTGGATCAAAATGGTGCTTCACTGTGGGATGTTTCCCAGGCATCCCGCCTCTTCATCATAGAATTTGTTCTGTGCATCGTCATCAGACTCGTCTGACTCTTCAAAATCCTCGCTGCGTATAACAAAATGTTCATTGGAGTGGGGCTGACAAACAAAAATACGGTCTATAGAGTCTATAGCCGAATATAGCGGACACATGCTCAGAGAGAGAAATCCGAAACTCTCATTATGTCCAAACATAAACTGCCAGCTGTTCCTTGCACAGCACAGCTTTTGAACTTGGCAGGATAATAGCAGCAAATATCAGCTGGTCGTTGAGAATTGTGTATTGCACATCTCTGCTGGCCTTTTTGGACAGAAAACGATTAGCAAAAGGGAAGTGTTGGGTAACCTGGCAACAAGGAGAAAAATTTAAGGAGGATAGCATCAACAGAGCCACTTTGACAGAAACGCCAGTCGAAAAGACTAGGAGACAGGGTTCTGCAGTGGTACTAGGTACGAGTTGCACTGGCTGAACTGGGATTTTCCACTTCACATCGTTCCCTTGTAACACTCGGAGCAGTTGAAACCTAAATTCATCCAACTTCACCTGATGCAATTCAGCACATGCTTACATCTCCTTGCCAGGTTTATAAATAAATTACTGTATAAGTTACAGTTACAAGTTTCAAATGGCATGAAAACATGCTCAATCGATGCTCGATCGCCGATCGCAAACAAATTCGTTCCATCCTGTCCTCCCCTCTCTCCAGAGCTGCCTGTCTCCGAGCTTCACGAGCAGCTTCCTATCACCAAAGTTAGCTGGCTGCCAGACTACTCAAGTTGTGATAGTTGTGGCTTTCCAAAAGAAAAATCCATAAAAATCCTGATCATTGTACTATATTGTACTGGTCACCATAATTTGCATCATGAGACAACCGTCGTTTCAGATGTTTCAGAACCCTTTGGGCCTTTGCAGCTGCACGCTCGGCTGCTTTCCGAGCAGTCTCCTCTGCCAATCGCTGAGCGGCCTCATTCAGCTTCAACTGTGCTGCGCTATCGTCACAAATCGTGGCTCACGGCCTGCTCCACTGCCAAACGGTGAAGAGTTGCTTTGACCTCGGAGGAGTGAACTGAGTGAACTGTGCTGCTCCGGTTTTCCGCTTTTCTCATAGTTTTCTCATTTTTCTCCTTAAAGGGTTGGCAATCGGCGGGATTCGGTTCCCAACCGCTGTGAAGATTCGCAGTTCGGAATAGACACGTCGACCTGAGACCAACTTGGAGATTGAATCCACAAAGGGATTTCAACATATTTCAACATATTTCAACATATTTCAACAGTACAACTTCAACTGAACAAGCTGAGCCCGCAGCAGTTGTCAATGACATCCCGATCGCAGCCTGCTTCTTCTCCCTCTTCGAAGGCTAAGCGCAGGCCCTTTACCATGACCTTCACAGCTCTGCATCAATGCATTAAAAGCAACATACCCTTTGGTAAACTAACATAGCTATGGAAAATCAGCATTTTTTATGGGGAAACTCACTATAAATGGCAATTTTCAATAGCTATGTTAGTTTACCAGAGGGTAAAGCAACCAACTCAAAGAAATTCCTGGTGATGTTGTGAAAATCGACTCACACTTATATCACTTATCATAACAGCAAGAATATTCTACTTCAAGCAGATTCAAGCAAGCAGCCTCAGTGCGACTAAGCTGACTAAGCGCTCTGTCCAAAATGTGGTTCCAAAATGATGTTCCTATGACATACTGGCAGCATCTCTTTCACATATTTTCACATCATTCACACAGGCAGCCTGCTGATCCTTGACACGCTGCTGTCGAATTTCCTCAGCGGTTCACTGGTGTGTCAGGCCACATAAATCAGGGAGAGTAATGCAGTGTAGAGTAGATAAAGCTAGCATGAAGAGTCCAACTATGTCCCTGACTTCCTCTTTCTTTTCCTGTCAGCAACAACAGCTCTCAAGCTTTGAGTGCTGGCAGCAGGTGCTCCCGGGCCCACTATCTCATCAAAACGTTCCTCTTCTTGTGGTGTGTTGCACATTAAAACACGACTCCATGTAACTCAGTATCTTGGCAAATCTGAACCCCCTTTTCATCCCCAAGTCTGACTTTGAAATGCCTATGACAGGAAAATGGCCTGGCTGGTCATCTGCTTTGGATCTTTCACTACAGGTATATCCAGGAGTGGAACCTTGCAATCAAGCTCGTCAGCAAAGGGTGGCTACTTTTGCAAGCTGATTGGATTTGCTGCTGGTTGGGCTTCTGCAAAGGTGCCATGAATCTGCTTCCCATGTTGAATATCCGCCGACCCCTGCCGCCAGCAGAGGGGAGCGCGTCAGAGGAGGCCTTACTAGCAACAAGATGCAAGAAGGGGCGAAGAGAGAACTTTGGACAGACGACGCAGGCCATGGTGGTTGAGCCCTGCGAGGGGGTCCGTTGGCAGTGCAGAAACGCAGGTAAAGTCAAGGTTTGGAGCTAGTTTCTAGTCAGTTCAGAAAGTAACGTTTGGCAGTCTGGGCTACGGGCCGCGGGCCCAATCCGTCCTTCACTGCCATGGTGTTTTAGCCCTGCGACAGGGTCCTTGGACTCCAGCTTAGACCGAAGCTGTGCAGAATGAAAGCCAGGGTGGCAGCAGAAACGCAGGTAAAGTCAAGGTTTGGAGCTAGTTTCTAGTCGATTCAGAAAGTAACGTTTGGCAGTCTGGGCTACGGGCCGCGGGCCCAATCCGTCCTTCACTGCCATGGTGTTTTAGCCCTGCGACAGGGTCCTTGGACTCCAGCTTAGACCGAAGCTGTGCAGAACGAAAGCCAGCTCCAGGAGGACAGAGCAGGGTGGCAGTTGGCAGTGCAGAAACGCAGGTAAAATCAAGGTTTGGAGCTAGTTTCTAGTCGATTCAGAAAGTAACGTTTGGCAGTCCGGGGTACGGGCCGCGGGCCCAATCCGTCCTTCACTGCCATGGTGTTTTAGCCCTGCGACAGGGTCCTTGGACTCCAGCTTAGACCGAAGCTGTGCAGAACGAAAGCCAGCTCCAGGAGGACCAGAGCAGGGTGGCAGTTGGCAGTGCAGAAACGCAGGTAAAGTCAAGGTTTGGAGCTAGTTTCTAGTCGGTTCAGAAAGTAACGTTTGGCAGTCTGGGCTACGGGCCGCGGGCCCAATCCGTCCTTCACTGCCATGGTGTTTTAGCCCTGCGACACGGTCCTTGGACTCCAGCTTGGACCTGAAGCTGTGCAGAACGAAAGCCAGCTCCAGGAGGACACGACAGGGTGGCAGTTGGCAGTGCAGAAACGCAGGTAAAGTCAAGGTTTGGAGCTAGTTTCTAGTCGGTTCAGAAAGTAACGTTTGGCAGTCTGGGATACGGGCCGCGGGCCCAATCCGTCCTTCACTGCCATGGTGTTTTAGCCCTGCGACAGGGTCCTTGGACCCCGGGCCTGGACCGGAGCTGGGCAGAACGAAAGCCAGCTCCAGGAGGACACGAGCAGGGTGGCAGTTGGCAGTGCAGAAAACGCAGGTAAAGACAAGGTTTGGAGCTAGTTTCTAGTCGGTTCAGAAAGTAACGTTTGGCAGTCTGGGCTACGGGCCGCGGGCCCAATCCGTCCTTCACTGCCATGGTGTTTTAGCCCTGCGACAGGGTCCTTGGACTCCAGCTTGGACCGAAGCTGTGCAGAACGAAAGCCAGGTGCAGGAGGACACGAGCAGGGTGGCAGTTGGCAGTGCAGAAACGCAGGTAAAGTCAAGGTTTGGAGCTAGTTTCTAGTCGGTTCAGAAAGTAACGTTTGGCACTCTGGGGTACGGGCCGCGGGCCACTGTTGCTGCCAATCGTGGTATAGTGTCAATTGCGGTAAGGCCACTCGTGGAAGTGACAAATGAAAACCATTGATTTTAGTGGTATAGTGTCGTTTGAGTTGTTGAAATTGACCCTAGGGTTTTTATCCTTACATTAGGTATATCAAGAAACTTCCCAAAAATGAAAAGTAAATTACCAGTATAGTTTAGTAGCAAGTTACTCTTCTATCTTGGAGGTTTCTGATTCTGCAACCAAGCAAGATTGGGCTCAACCCAGGGGTCGGCGGCAGGGGGCGGAGCCCCTTAATGTATGGAGTAGCAAGCAGCACCTCGGGATGAGTTCTTTTCTTTGTCTTTTGCTCCAACTGCAACATCAGGCAACATGCATCGGCGGTAGCATGTTCAGCCTCTATGATTCAAGCAGTTGTTTGAGAGCTTGCTTCATCTGCTCCGTCTTGTCCTTTTTTCCGACGTAACTTAATCTGTGCAGCTGTTGACCGCAGAAAAACTACGGAGACTGCAAGAGTCTCCAGTTTGCATTCGCACCTCCCATCGTTGAGCCACTTTTTGCCCAAGCGAAGTGGATTTCAGTAGCTCCTGTACGGTGCTTGACCCAAAGACACAACGTTGGAAGCGGTAGAAAATATTGTGATATTCTGAAGCTGAAGCTAGACAAGCCACAAGTTTGGAAAGCCTTTTGAGTGGTTTGAGCGAAGAAAGAGAAACACTGCATCTCATAGCATCAAAACTCATCAAAACTCACCATTTTATATACTTCAAGGACAGGTTGATATTTCTTGTAGATTTATGGACATGCATGGAACATGCGCTTTACCTAGCAGCTGCGGGGTCACTTTCACACATCTTAGTCTTGTCCTTCTGAGCATCCAATCTCCGGGCTTCAGCTTCCTGCTCTGCAAGCCTCACTCCGAGGCCAGGATCAAATGCGGAGACATGCACAGAAGACGGTAGAATAGGAATGAAAAGGACAGGATTGAAACGGATTTGATCGTATTCAGCATATATTCAGGTTCTCAATGTTTATATTACATAATATATATATATATTATATTTACTTATATATATATACACTTATATATATATATACTTATATATATACTTATATATATACTTATATATATACACTTATATTATATATATACTTATATATATATACTTATATATATACTTATATATATTGTTGGGACCAAGACTTGTGTTCTCGTTTATCTTTGTCTCACAAGATGCCGTGAAAGTAGGGTACATTGTGTGACACCTTTGTTGTTGCCGGGATCATAACTGTTCCATTCTCATCGTCCAACGGTGCTATGCTGAGGTCGCTGGCCGCTTTTGTCCACGACCTCACATTGAGGATTGGAGGGCTATCGAATGGGCCACACGATGTGTCAAGTGTAGTTAACACAAAAACATTGCAACAATTGGTGCACTATAGCCAAACATGTTCAGAACTGTGCACAGCTGTTTCTTACTTCTGGAAAAGATTGCAAAAATGTACATTGTCATCATACTACTGTGTATGACTATATGTCTCAAGCTCGAAAATCATGAAGCTGGCGAGCTTCAAATAAGACCTGACAGTCTCAGCTTTCAAAGGTGAGTCTCTTGGGGCCCTGACTGATCAAAGGGGGATCTTCAAGCTTCTCCTGTGGCAAAGCGGCATAAGTGTCAAAGGTACATACTAGTTCACTTGGGATGAAATCTCATGCACTTACCATGATTCACCAAGTACTCTCTCTGAGTTCCAATCACCGCATGGCCTCTTTGGCTGCTTTCAGAGTTCGTTGCAGCGCATCGATATGCTCCAGGAGGGTGTAGTTTGCCTAGCGCTACACGGGATCTCCAAGGACGTAACACGTCAAAGGAACATCTTGCGCAGAGAGGCTGCTGACGGAATGAAAATGAATGAAACTGCTTCAAGATTGCGAAACGTTAAGCAAAGGCAAAGGCAATGCACGTATCGACGTATCACTTTGAAATATACACAAGTCTCGTTATACAAGTGACTGCCTCCGTGTTCAGCACGAATTGCAATTCCAACTGAGCCAACCTCAACAGCACTGCCAAATCTGCCCCAAACGAGGGGTTCATTTGCTGCTGCTAGGAATGCAACCGTCGTCGCTGTGGCTCCATGAAGCTATCCTGCCATGACTATAAGAGTTCCTGTGAAATACAGCAGGCATCAATTCCTGACTTAGAATGTTTTAGAAACTTCTAGATACATCTAGATATCATATAATCCATATAGTTTCAGATCTGCTTTAGAGAACCGACTCGACTCAAAATCTACTTTTGTACAAATGCTTCTGTAGCACTTCCAGTAGCTCGCTCTTAGTGTCATCTCACAAAAATATGTTGCGGTCAGTTTGAGCAAATCAACACATATAACTGAATCACTTTCCGCCTCTACTTGGTGCGTGATTCCAGCTTCAACCGCTATTCTCATCTTCTCCTTACTAGCCATTGCTGGGCAGGAGTTTAAAACTGAACCCAAACAAAATGTGTCCACTGAAACGAAAAAAGAACACCCGACCAAATCTTCTGGAGTTGCGCGTGTGTGATGTGTAAAACTCATGATGAAAGTCTGATCCTCTTCCTCTTGCTTCCTCTTGCTTCTACACTCCGCTACATATCATTTGGATTTGTTATGGATTTGGTTCGTACCTCCTCAAACCTTCTGGTTCCAAGTTGCGGAATTGCCGTTCTCGCCATACAACTTCATGTCCTGCTGCAAATACACTGTATAATCTGTGTAATTAATGGCATCTATCAAACCTCAGAGACATTCAATCGTGTTGGATTTATGTTGTAATCTTGTCCACATTTCACGGCAAAACACTTTTGCATCTCCGCACCCCGAGTTCATATGTCACGCACTTCCATGTCCTCCCGGGCGTTATCCTGCTCCTTAATCCAGTCGCAGTCCTCAAGAGTGCCGAATGTGAAATGGCAGTGTGTCAAAACCTTGTACCCCTGGTGAACATCAAAATAGCTGGTAAATGGATGTTCATCCCCCTAAAAATGGTATTAATAGGTATTGATCCATACCCAAATTATGCAAAAAAAAAATGTACCACAGCACTTCATATACTTTATTCTCCTGCTGCTGCTCAACGGGCATTGTGTCATAGATGGCTTTGTACCTAGGTGTGGCTTTGCAAAAGGGATCTTGGCCCACTTTCAGATCTTTCAGATTATTCTAGACTATAGACTGGAATCAAAGCTTGAATTCCATCCATTTTTCTGATAGTTATCGCACCCCTGAGCATGCTCCAGCATGAGAATGAAACGAATACATGTCGCTGAGCAGGGAACGTCTCAAGTGCCAATTTCTGCAGCGGCTTCACTACTGCTTCTTCAAACTTCCTGAGTGCACCAATTGAGCACAAACAAGCTTTGCAGTATCCAAATTCTCTAGACTTGCTCCCTAAGGAGCTCCAAAACAATTCAAAGCAAACAGATGCAATCAGAAGTGTGATTGAAGTACAACTGCAATATGCATCAGTCTGGGAACCCATGTGATCCCATCTCTGACATTTCTCAACATCTGTCATCTTCTTGGCATACTGCACTATGGTGCCTTTGCCAGATGGCTCTGTGAGAACCTTGCATGATCTTTCAATGCGTTGCGTTGTGCACCACATGCAAACTTGGACGAGATTCTCCCCTATTCCCGGTCCACGTTGTACCAGTTCCTGAAAGCAGAAAGTCTTCAGTAGAGAAGGACAAACCAGTAGCAGCTTTGACTGCGTCAATTTTCCACTTTATGATCTTTGATGCTTTCTTCCAGCAACTTATCCGTTCTCAAATCTTGCATGGAGGCTCCTCCCGCAATAGCTCTGCATCGACGTCCAAGGAGATGTCTGTTTTGGCAAAGGTCATGCCTGCCAAAACAGAAGATAATCAAAGCACATTGCAACACGGGGGTCCCCACAGTGGCGAGCCCGCCTTTCCTTCTCCGAGGCATTGGCCGAATAGGACCAAAGCCTGGTTTGGACAGTTGCTCAAAGATCTGCAAAATTCGGCAAGGAACCACGCCACGCCACCATGGCCAGAAAAAGTGTTGCGATCTTAGCGGGTTGCCCTTTTCTCCACTTGGACTAGGATCGTGAGACTTGGAGCCACGCTTACAAGGACTGGCACTTGGCAGCTCTTGGCAAAGCACACTTCCTCAATAACATTGAGACTGGCCGAGAAATAGAATGAGATGTAAGTTACAAGGTCCATGAAAATTCAAATTCCCTTTCTCTTCACATGAGTTTTCTGTGGTTTTCTTTTTCAGCATTTTAAATGCCATCCGTATGTATCTATGTAAAATCAAAGAGCCTTTCAAAAACACCCCCGAAATTCCCCGAATGCTCTAAAATTGAAACTGCTCGAGAACCTAGTTATATAATTCAAAAATATTCAAAATAAGCGCAACCAAGGCTCAGCAAGGCACCATGTTCTTGCCATCGGAGTGTGGTCCTGACATCGCAAACGGGAACTGAGATGTTTTTCGTTCGCCTAGATCCCGGGTCCTATAGACCCAGAGCCCGCACCAGAATGAGTTTCGTCCACCCAAAAAACCGGGCAAAGATCTCATGTGTAGTTCAGGAAATATGAAAAATGAAAATAGATCTAAAATGGATGAAAATGGAAAATGGAAAATGGAGCGTTCCCAGCATGTTTCCAGTTCACTCCAAACATCGCCAGGTCGTTCAGTTTCGCTGTCCCGATCCATGGCCACCAGCAGTTTCGTAGATCGTCGACTGGCGAGCACAGAGAAGACCCACCGGCAACAGGTTTGGTTAATTTGGATTTGTGGAGACTGAAAGGACTTCAGTGCTAAGTAGTGCTATACAAGAGTCTTACCATGTCTTACCATGCCTTACCTGGCAACGTGATGCAACGTGATGCAACGTGCATGGACGTGACTCCGTGACTTGAGGTGCTCATCCCAAATCATTCCAATTCCAAGCTGAGGGAAAAAGCTTCGAGGCGATGGCCTCAACTCTTCCAGCACGAAGTCGAACTTGTCCGTCTCACAGCGTGGATTCCGTTGGGGAAATTTCCGTGCTTGGTCCTCAGTCGCAGAGTGCCCAAATGGGTGTCAATCTTGTTAATCTTGAGGCCTGGTGCAGATTTGCAGAATCAATCAGAACATATCAGAACTCACTGTCAAACAATGTCAAAAACCGGTGTGTACATATTTAATTTAAATTTGGAGATTTGGAAAGGTACTTTGAACATCTTTGAACATCCTTCAAGGCATCGGGCAATGCAAAAGACGTCCACAAAGTAGCGCCTGGACAAACTTAAAAAATATCCGCAACGCATATGGCACCGTCTAATTGTCAGCTTGCGACTGATTCACGCCGTATAATGCTGTCAAATACAGAGCCTTTGTAGAGACTCAGGACGCCGAACATACCTCAAACATGCATGTGTGACAGTCAGAATCTCTTGGTTGCCATACAGGGTTGATTTATCAGCTCATCACAGTTTACACATGACAAGGTTTTAAAGTATACCCTCGTACAATGCCAACAATTCGCAAATATGATGAGTTCAAGGGAATCGGAATCTGCATTCAATGGTTTAAATGGTATGTGGCTTTGTTTTCCAGTTGGATGCTTATGGAAGTTTAAAGCCCTGCTTTTTGGTGGTATTGTTTGCCTGTCCTTGTCAAATTTGTCAAGTAATCGAAGTCTGGCTTTCACTATCTGGCAGTGTGTCAAAACCTTGAAAACCCCTGTAGTTCACATCAAAATAGCTGGGTTAAAATGGATGTTCATCCCACTAAAAATGGATAAAAATGGTATGAAAATAGGTATTGATCCATAGCCATCTCAGATTCGCACTGTTCATGGCTGGCGTCCAGCTTTGGCTGTGTGAATCCAGAGGCATGGGTAGCGATTGCCATAAGGAGATCACTGAACAAGGCCTGGCAACACGGCAACACGCAGCAAGACCTCTTGAGACCTCTCTTTCTGTTAAAAGAAGCTACTGGAAAATATGTCAAAATATGTCAAAATGAGTAAAAAGCTGTTCACATCAAGGCAATATTGAAATGTGTAGCTTGAAGCAATTCTTTCTGATCCATTTCTGGCCTTCCAGCAGTGTACAACGTAATACTCTGGATCGAAACTGTGACAGAATTCGGCATAGCAAGCTCCGTACCTCCCATGTGCAAAAAGCCAGCAAAGCCAGGGACCAACGAGCTCTAAATATCTAAATCCATGAGTGGCATTGGCTTGTGAAGCAAAAATCTTGGGCGCCTTTCAGTTGTTGGCTGAACCACTTCCTCCACAACATCCTCACAGACAGTGGAAGCTCAAGGTCTCAAGGCCCAAAATGTCAAAAACTTACAGAATGGGCAAATATTGATCCAATATGATCCAATACATGCCAATAGGATTCCAATAGGATTCGAATAGGATCTTGTGCCCCTTTGTTTCAAAACAACTCTGTTCAACATCGAGCCGTGTGGCCTGTGTTGTGCTTGATTGAGCGATCTCACCGACTGATGTGAAGTCCTGCCATAGCAGGGAACAAAATGATGCGACATGGAACCACATGCAACAAGCGAATGGGAAACGTGGGAAGAGAATGCCTGAAGGTGCGGCGCACTGTCTTGACTCTTGACAAACCTTGACAAAATGGTCACTGGTGGACACATTGCAGCGGAATTTGCTCCTTGAAGAATTTCAGCATCATCTCCAGCTTTACACATCTCTTAGCAATGGTCCTATCAAGCGATGACAGCAGCAATGGATCTGGATGGAAACTGCGAAACTGCAAAGGCCTTGCGCTTTACCTTGGTAAGTTTGGGCCCCAAAGTGCCACCCGATTATCATTGGAAACTCCAACATTATCCTATTCATTGCATGCCTTACCAGTCACAGCGTGCTCTGAAGTTGCCCCCTTTTTGCCGGAATTGCTGTCGATCAACCATACCAATACTTGTAAAGCATCGCCTCGCAGTTGTTGCTACCACATTCAGGTTTCTCAACGAGTCCTCAACCAAGCGAGAACAAGCAAGGTGTCAGCAAAGCTTGAATGGTTCCATGAGGAATTCGAAACTGCTGGTGCTAGCATTGTACCGTCTGCTGGACTCTGTGAGTTTCTATCAGAGAACTTTTTGATCTCAGTGATCTCAGCATATCTCAGCTTTGTTGCCGTTAATTGACAAGCCGTGATCCTCATCAAAGCGCTTTGATGGGTTGCCTACGAGGCTGCAGGTCATGTCCTGAAAGAGTCACACATTGGAGTCTGCGCTTCAGTGAGTTTTGAGATGTGGCAGATCTGGCGGGTGGAAAGGGTGTCCTTCTTGTCCATTCTCACAAGACAACTGACCTCAACCAAAAGAATCTGGATTAGAAGCTGGGAAAGAAACCGCTAGACACACTGCCAACATAAGCCCCAGCACCTTTCGTAGAGCTATAATACTATACTTATCTATACTTTCCTGGTTTGCAGTACAGTATATATAAGCAAAAGCAACTAGATATTGCTGTATATTTGGACAACCAAAACTCTGCAACTGGGGCCGGAACAAATTTCATAGCTCCAGCGTCTGTAATCTTGTTCTTGTCAAGCCTCTTGACAAAGAAAGACTGACAGTCTGAAGGTCGGCTTGCTGTGCTCAAACAAATGTCTCACACAAGCTAAGGTCCGCGCGCAAGCAGCCTGCAGAAGGACTGTTTCTATGCAGTCTGATACTGTAACCCTGAATGGAAGTAGATACCATGCAAAAGGCTTGCGGTCATCCACTTGTATACCAAGATCCAGATGAAACTGAGTCTACAGTATGTTATGATATGTCATGTATGTTCAACTCAAGATGAGGCAGCGCCACCAGGAGGGAGACAATATCAGACAGGCCACCGGCCCTCCCGGCCCTCCCCCAAACGATCCAAAGCGAAGCGGCCTCAACCGTCCATGTTCTTCCATGGCTCGGGACAAGTCCACGGCACCAGCCTTGGCGCACCCTGAGAATGCCAAATTTCAAGGGCCACTGTTGGCGATACCTCGTTGTTCATGACCTAAGCACCTCCAAGCTCTGCACATCTTGAATCTTGTTGTTGATGAGCCAAAGTTCCCTGCATTGTGGCTGGTGGCTAGGGCACCGTGCTGTAATCCGTTCAAAAACGAGACTATCTGTTTTCCATGACTCTGAATTTCATCTTGTGGAAGTGTTTGCAACCATTGAAATTAACTTCCCCTTTCTGTGATGTACTCCCTTCATCTCATCATCTAATATTCTGACCATAGCCACCACAGCGTAGGGGCTCAACTTCCGCTTTCAGATTGAACTTCTCAAGTACATCTGAACTATCTCAACACACCTGAACTATTCCTGACTACTGTCAAATGATCCTGACAACTCAGCCAGCCTCAGTTTGGGCTGGCGGCAAAGATGTTGAGCGAAAGCGCTGGCACCAGCGTCTGTCAAATCAGACCAAGTGAAGTGAAGCGCAACCAAGCCACAGCCCTGTCGCGAGCAGTCGTGATCTTGCGAACTTGCTAAGTAAGATTAAGAAATTGCTGGAAATTGCACATTTGACATTAGCATGGTGCACATAAAATTAGCAACGGTAAATCTGAAAGCGAGCTAGTCTTACTGTGGCGACAAAATCCACTATGTCACTATGGATGCTGTTTGAAAACGAAAAGCTGTGCTTTTTGCCGAATATCTAAGATACAATCCCCTTCTTGGCAAAATCAGTGACTTGGACACCTGGCAACGACTGACCGCCTCCCCAAATGCTTCTGCCAAATACGTTGCGGCAAGATCCCCAATGTGATTCTCGCCAACTGAGAGCTCCTGAATGCCAGTGTTTCCAATAGTAAGTACTCCGAAGCGGCTCGAATCTGCTGGAAACCAAACAGAAAGCTCCCATGAAAGGACGTCGAATGGCAAAGAAACAATTCCTGGATTCGATATGCCACAAAGGTTGCTTGATTTTGGTTGCAAAGAGGGTCCTTGAGAGGATGATTCTTGACCTCCGTGCTTTTCTGCTCATAGAAAAGGTGCACATCGTTATCCCAGGAGATTGAAGAATGCCACACTGCGCTGCAAATTTGGTTGTATCACAGCACCAGTTTTTGACACAATAAGGGCACACACTATAACCATCTATAACCCGCATTCGCATACGTTGGTTGATCTAAATTGCTTCATAAAGAAACGCGCGTTATTCTTCTGTTTTTTTTAACTTGCGCAAAACTTTCGCGAACTCCATGTTTATCTTTCGTGGGCAACAATGCCTCTTATGAAGACTCAGTTATTACGAGTACCTGCCAGATTATCATACGTAGGTTCATTACTTCATGATACGAGTGGCCTTGTAAAGATGCAGCTAGCATCACGGAATCCCTTCTCCGGACAGGTAGATGGTTGCTAATGGTTGGTTATTGGATTTATATATTCGATTATGTTTGCATATGTTTGCAAGGCTTACTCAGCCACCCCACCTTTCAAGATGCAGTTTCACTTTCGCCTGCTCCTTAACCGAACTTTCGCATTTTTTTCGCAAAAATATCCCTGTAAGTGAGATTAAGTAAATATGTACATCTAGCTCTGGCGAAACTTTCACAAAATTCCAATTTTACTTTTGCAAACTCGACAACTACACATCTTGCGAAGGTTCGAAACATAAAATGAACGGTCTTCGCAATCAAAATTCTGTATAGACCTTTAGTTAGCACTGTTTAGTTTTGCTTTGTTTTGTGCTGTGTCGCAAGCAGGAACTGCTTGTCCAAACTGCCAAGGATTCTGTGGCATACTGAGACTTGAGCCACACGGGCCAGAGCCCTCACACCTTCGTTGCCAATCTCATTGCCTGAGTGAAAGATCTTCTCCCATCTTCTCCCAAGCTTTCACATATTTGATCATTACATCATGAACTTCACATCCTCTTTTCGTCTTTTTGTATCTTTTTTGTGCCATCAGTGTCTCAGTTCCTCACCAGTGAGGTCTAATTCTTGCAAATGAGGAGGCAAGGCCTGCTCAACAAGTGCTACGGCTTCTGCTAGAAAATCGAAGAAGGCTGAGGTGCAAAGGTGTCCAAACCAGCCTTAACTTAGATAATGGTCCTACTACAAGTAATTATATCTTTATACTTTATCCTACCGGTTTGCTTAAACATGCTTGTCAAACACCTCTGTTACATCTATTCCAAGGCCATGGGCCTGCGCAAGCTCTGCAATGGCCTTGTCTACTCTATAGCAGGAAGCAACGTATTGCACTGCGATCTTCAGAGTTGTGATTCAAAGACTTAACAGATCACATTTTGGGAACGAACACTAGAGGTTCGTAACACACATGTTTCCGGCTCAAATTTATTGTTCTCGCACAAAAATGCATGAAACATGCACAGTGCAGTTGTGCTAAGCCTCTGCAAAAATGGTGCCCTTGGTTCCGAACAGTGTCGCCAACTTTGTTGCCAGAAAGATCCAAGAGCCGCAGTTTGTTGGCCATTGAAATGGCCTGCATCAAAAGGGAAGGACCAAAGGTTTGCTCTCTGGAGCCTTGCGGGAAGAGCTCGATAAGCAAGTAAGTGTCAACCATCCTTCAACCGCCTTCAAATAAAGCTGGCCATACTTCAACCTCCTTCAAGCCGCACACGACTGACAACCATGTTTTTTTCTTTATCGTTCTTTCTCTTCAATAATTACCGAGATACTTCAGAAATAATTGGATTATGTTGGCCTTGCTGAGTTCGACCATGCCAAAGTCAGAGATACGGTCGCCACCTCGGCATCTGAGACGCAGTACTTGTACCAGCCGTTGAGTCTTGCACAATGAGAAAGATCTACATGTGAAAGAGAAGGAGAAGGGGACAGGGAAGGAAGGAAGGAAAAAAGGAAGGAAGGTTGTTGAAATGGCCGTGACGTACAGTAGACCTAATATTTGTTTCTATGAGGACTGCAAAGGAGACGGTCCATGGCTCAATGGTTCAATGGTTCAGGTGCACCAGCATCTTCCACCCTACTAGTAGGAGCCTCACTCACATCCAAAGTGTGCAGTTTTTTACTGCCACCATTCTCCACAGCTTTGGCCAGTTGAGCCGCACCCTCGTCTCCAACCTGGTCAGTCACAGTTCAATCAGTGCAGCAACACGACCATATCTCACATCTCAAAAGTTCCCAGGAAATTCACATGTCATCACCTGTCACTTGAAGGCCTGATGGAATCATCACATTCATCAGCTCAGAGCAAAACAGCAAAGCGCACGAATCACTTGTTTTCGTCTGCACATGAGGTCACTGGGCTCCAGGAAGCACAACAAGCAAATGTTCAAGAAACCGTGAGTGATCATCAGTCATTCACAAAAAATTCCAGATCAAAAGCATAAATGGCATAAATGTCCTGGAACCCGAGCCAGGCTCCGTGAATCAGCTGCTTAAGAGGCATTTCATGCCATTTGAGCTGCACATCTGAGTCAGGTGAGCAAGGACAGACCCTGGTCAGGCCATTGTGTGGATCGAGCTGAGATCGTCTATTGAAACCATGACTGACCGCTGGATTGACTGCTTGACCGCGCCTAGCTTGCCTGGTGGGGGACAACATTGCCATCCTCATCAAGCTCCTGTTCCTCCTGTTCACTCAATCTCTGGAGCTTTTCTGGCAAGCACTGTATCTGAACTCATGTGTTGTTGTGCGTGATTGGGGGCAGTCTGGGTTCAGGCACAACTCGGAACAACAGCCAATGCGCCCAATCAAAACAACAAACCAGTCTCAATCAAAACAACAAACCAGTCTCATGAAACAAGATGCACTGCTGTACACAGTGGACAAATGGAAAGAAAAAGAATGAAACAAGGCCACCAGTGATAGATGAGACTTTCGGTGACTTTCTGGAAAGTCCGACCTGCATGTTTGCAGTCGATAATGTGTTGTTTTTGTTTGTAAAACGCCGGAGTCCTCTTCTTCATCGGCCTCCTCGTCATCATCATCGTCTTGCCAAGTGTCCCAAGGCACCTGCAGCGACCGGTTAATCATTTCACTTAAGAATTCCCCGGCGGCATCATTTTTGTCACAAGTCTTTTCAAGATCCAACGACACTTGGTGGTGGAAAGACAACACGGACGGGCTTCGCAGAATCAAGAGCGCCCGTGCATGACTTTTTGCACCAAGTGTCGACGCATGCCTGGATTGCAGCACGCCGAATTGAGTGCATACAAGAACTGTTGTCAAGTTGGGACATTGACATACAGTCTGGAACTTCAATGAAACCCAGGAGTTGGTGGGCAGAATGCCAGCGGCGGAACAGTCTCCGAATGCGGCCACGGTCAATCTGGAAGAGTGGAAATGGCTCAGAATATACAGTATCAATATCCAACGTAATGGAATCGGAATGGAAAGATTGAGCCGTTCCGAGAGGATCAACCATCAGGCCCATGGATTGTTTGCTAGATCTCCTACTTCTTGCCTTTCTTGCTGTGTTTGGAGGCAGTGTTTGCCAGATAAGGATCCCATGTCGGACCCTCCGGAGTACCCTCATCAAATGCCCAGCTGCTTGCAGATGTGGTTGCTTCCCTGCTCGGCATACCAAACGATCCAAGTGTGTCCAATGTTTCCTTTTTTTTCCTACGAAGTGGATCATCGTGCCACGAGTCGAGGCCCTCGATTGTGTCACCGGAGCTCGTGAAGCTTCGAATCTCTTGTGCCTTCTCTCTAGCCTTGGCCCAGGACAACGTTTTGTGCTCTTCATACAGATTCCTGATACGTAGGTTGCGATGTCGGGCAACAACCCACAAGAAACGTCGAACCAAGCTGTGCGATGGATCAACGCCTTCCTTCTCCCATTTCTCCAGCTCCTGCATCAGCTTGTTCTCCATGATGAGTTGGACGGCTCTCAGGATGTGCACAGAGGCCAATTGCTCTTGGCATATGTTGGAAAGTCTGTCTTTGAGTTCCAGAATGCAAGGCCTTTTTGGGTCCGCATCTTTTTTGTCACGACCAATGAAAACAGGATCTCGCACATCCATCTGTTGCCCAATTTTCTCGGACAGCATTTTACGAAAGTCCCTGCCAGTGGTCGCCCGGATGTCTGAATCCTCAAACAGGTCCTCTTTGGAAACAACTGGCAGAAGCACAGGTTTGCCTCCTTGGCCCCTTTCTGCTGACCTTGTGGCTTGGTCACACACCTGCTTGATCAGTTGGTGAAATTTCTTGTCATGAATCTCATGACGATTTTCTGCACCCAGGACTAAGACCAAAACCAGGCGCTGGTGAAGAACCTCTTCTCCGATGCTCTCTTGGTTGGCCTTTTTCATGCACTGGTCCAACAGGTCCACTGCTTGCCCCCCCAGTTCCCACCCTTCTGTGTCAAACAGAAGCAACTCTTCTTCAACTCCAGGGGTAGTCCATCCTTTGCATTGCCATCTGTGAACCTCAACTCCTTGAGTGCAAGCCTTATAGTGATCTTCGTTGGCTGGACGTTCGTTTGAGCCAAGAGCTTGAACCAAATCATTGAGCACTGTGCTCTTGCCTTGCCGAGCTCTGCCAAAGAGGAAAATAGGGCATTTCTGGACAAGTTTCCTGGCATCTTCGCCGCAAATGGCCAAGAGCCCTGGAAATTGTTCCTTGATTTCCATGTCCCAGAATTCTTCTTTGATGTCATCCCCCTGCAGGGTCTCATCCAAGCGTCTGTTGTTTTGTCCACCAACCGCAGGTCCTTTGCCGATGCACTTCCGCTCTGTGGGCATGCGCTGTTCTACGCAACGAATACACATTGCTGAGGCAGCATGTGCAATAGATCTCTTCGCAGTTCCAGCCAACAGCGAGCCAATTTCAAGAAGGCAAGTATGGCAGTCAGTTTCAAAGCATGGCATCTTGACCGCTCAACTGGTCTTCCTGAGAAGCCTAAAACAACTGCTGCGGGCGGAAGATATCGACATATATCGACACATATCGACGCATATCGACACATATCGGCATGTATGCATATATCATGTATATAATCAGCAACAGCCGGACAACTGCCACCTACTCCCACGCCAAAAATGGTGTTGCAATCCTGTAACCTGGTCTCAACTTACTAGTGATAGAAGACTCTTCAGACCTCTTCGGACAGATCATCACAGCAGTCGAGCTGGAGTTCTTCCGCGCGCCTCATGAATTCGCAAGACCGACTTGGTTGGATCCTGGTCAAGTTCTGTTGGCCCCACTTTGGCTTTGCCAGCGGGAAATCTTGCAACCGGTACTACATGATCTACATGATCTACATGATCTACATGATCTACATGATCTACATGATCTACATGATCTACATGATCTACATGATACAGTACATGATATTACATGATGGATCATGATGGCACCTATGTTTTTCCAATCGCCAAGCCAGTTCCCTCACCTCAAGGCTTTGAGCTCCAAGATCCCTTGAATCAAAAGCATATCAAGTTGAACAGTTGTCCAGCAACACTTTATGAATAGCAAGCTGTCCTTGAGCAAGAGGTATTTGCCATCCTCCCAACCTTGGGAACGAACTCTTCGGCGAGTGCATGGGCCACACATTTTTACAACACCTGTGTTCTGTTTGAGTGTGCTTTGGCAAAACTTCCTAACACGAGTTGTCATAAATCAGAAGTTGGATGATATCTTGTCACTAGGGTATGTGTCACTCATCATGCCACCTCCTTGTGCGCAAAACTGGATGCACACTTCTGTTTGTAACGATGAATTAGACGGTCGTGTTTGAAGTTCCAAGGTGCTCATGATCAGATCCACAATATTCCTGATGATGCCGAACCTGGCAGGTCAACTGGACTGATTGAATTGACAAGAAACGAAACATCTAGGCATTGAAAAATGCATTAATTATATAATATATATATGTGTGTGTGTGTGTTCATTCTTCTGCGATCAAGAAGTTCGGTGGCCCAAGTTCCACAACAATGTTCTTCAGACAAGCGACATGTTGTTCCGTGTGAGGCCAATCTGCTCCGCAAAGCTGCTGGTGGTGTACGTCTGTACGCCCAACAAGGAGTGCGACCATGGATCCTTTGGATGCTGCCGTGACCTCAGCTTCACCGGGTTCAACCAGTGCTATGTTCTGCTTGTGGTTTTCGCATCGCGTAACCGTTACTATTTGACTCCTTCATAAGATCGGCGCAGAAAAGCGCTGTTGCAAACCATTTGTGATTTTGACATTGATCACTATCTTGTGTCCTACAAAAAGGAGTAGGTTGTGCCTTTGGTCTCCAAGTGAATCAAAAGTCTCAGGTGTCATCACTAGGTTCAGAAGACGACAATGAGCAACAGTACTTCCAATATATGCTGTTTGTCCTTCAAGGCTTCAGCCTTCATATTTGAGATTCATTCACGGCGTGCTAGTTCTATACGTTTCTACTGGCGCAAGAACGTGGATGCCATGCGTGGTATTTTCAAGCTCAGCCTCTACATGAAAAATGATGAGAAATGGCATCTGTCGATCATCTTGTAGTTAACAGCGTGAATTGGACATCGTAAGCTCCAGGCACATACCCAATCTTGATAGTGTCACAGCCTGCCAGAATGGCCTGCACACATCCGCCAAAGCTGCAATACTCACAATATCTCACAATCAATCAAAGCAATCATCCCAATTATATATATGTTTATAAGATATGTATATATATATATAGATTATGCTGCATATGCTATATATATATATATGCCATATGCCTTATATGCCAATAACCTCCAAATCCTTTTTTTGTCTCACAATGATACCTCTCCGTGGCTGTTCTATGCTTGCTAAAGAAGGACTGCCCAGTTCCACTATGCTCATTTCATTGCTCCAAGTCTGTGGTGCCTGTGCTGTCCAACGGCCAAGCTTGAATGCATTGTTCTTCAGCTCTGTCGCAAGGCATGCACCTGTGTCAAACTGTGTCAAACTGTGTTAGAGGCAGTAAACCCAACTCTAGTAGTAATAATATCATAATATTACCCAATCTCTAAATCAAACCCAACTCTTCAAACCCCAGCTCCGGCAGTGGCTGCGCTGCAAAGGCACCTCGCTGAGACTCCTTAGTCAAATTTAGTCAATCAGGAGATTCATGAGAGCAAGATGTGGCTTATGAGATTCATGGTGGTCTTCACGTGCTTCTTATGGTTCTGGTTCTAGTCTTTCTAGTATCTGTGAACTGAAGATTGAATCGTTTCAAAATATTCCAAGAGGAGGTGTTTTGAATCCTACCAAATAATAATTATCCAGAGAAAACATATCTATTATAATCTCGATCCCATCGTGTGCTGAACGGTTCTATCTTGCTGGCAGCTTGCTGGTTTGGATTTTGGGATGTTCTGAGCTCCAGGCCAGGTGGGAACGCCAGTTGTAGTTTGGCTTGGGCTCATACTCGTGCATGGCCTCGCACCAAGTCTGTGGCTTGGTGCCTATCCAGCCGATCCCTTGTCCATGTTTCATGAAATGACGTTTCTGTTTGTTGTATATGTTATATGTTGATATTTATTGTCACTTCGTTGCTTCGGGCCTGTTTTACTGTATCACGATGGTTCTAGATCGCCCGTTCCCGATTCAGCATGTGACCCAAGTGCAGATTTACAAAAAATATGGTACGTAGAAAGTCAGATCAATTTCCCAAATCTCCAAGTGGTCTCAAGCACTTGGAGCTGAAGCTGGAAAGACCCAACAGACCCAACATCCCTCGACTCGCAGCTGCCTTGACAGATGCCAGCTCGGTGCTGCCAGGCAACTTGCAGTTCACCTCGGTACCTCAGCATCTTTGCAGCTGACTGGATCAAAATCATACTTCCAGCCTGGAGTCAAACAGTTCAAGAATCAACAAGGCCTAGCATGTTCCTGTTTCGAGTTTCAAGCGTCTGTATGCCTGTCATTCAAAGATTGAAAGCGTCTGTAGAGTCTAAAGCTACAGTCTTCTGCCAAAAGATCCTGTCTCAAGCTAGTCTCAGCTTTGAGGAAGGAACGCACCACCAGCTTGACTGGATTCTGCTCAAACTCACTGGTTGCCTATGCAAAGAGCATGGGACGAGAGTGGCGTCAGCGAAGAAAAGTTGGACAGCCATGAAGCACTTTGGGTACTGACCGTGCCTTCGGATTGCCGGGCAAAGTGATCTTTCTGTATCTGTATGCACCGGAGGCCACGCAGCCATGGTTCTCCTTCCGGTTCAGATTAAAATACAGAAAGTATTCTGAAGTCAAATAGACAACGAACGTCCATTGAGGAAATCATTCATTGATTCTTTGACATTCTTTGTATCAGTTTGCAATATTGTGCATCAGCTTCCCGGTCCTCATCCTCAAATGGATTGGGATGCTGCATCTCGTCCACTGGCTCCTGAGTCGGTGAGTTGAACAACTGTCATGTCAAGCCAGGATAACCATTGGACCCATTTGGACCCATTGGACCCATTGGACCCGTTGCAGCAACTTCACAGCAACCAGTCGCCTCGGGATCGAGAACCATCTGGGAGAAGTTCTGGTTGATGCAGGAAGCTTCCTGCCGAGAAAAATGAGGAAGTGGCAGAGATCAAGATCCACAAAAAGATGAGATAAAATGAGATCAGATGACCAAACCGAATCAAACCGTCCAGCACTGAAATCTACCAAACTTCACAGACTCCCACCTGGCCAAGCTTCACAGGCCCATTCATGCTTTCCTGCAGGGCGCTCAATAGATGATAATAGAAAACAACAAAAAATTATATAATTACATAATCATACATAATCTACATAACAATAAATCACTCGCAAACCAAGTACAAATTGTACAAATCAATGAATTGAATAACTTATAACACTATGATCTACGTGGATCTGATTTACTTTGGCACAACATGTTTTGTTTGAAAACATCGAGTGCTTCAGGCGCAAATGGCAATGGAGGGTGTAAACATAAACACTTTCAGAACTACTGTAAATCTTGTAGTGCCCAAAGTTACCAGAGTTGCAGTTACAAGGGAAGTTTAAACATGTCTTTGCTATTGCGGTCTTAGCAAGACTTGTGCTAAAGGACTTTGATGCGGTGATATGATTTGAAAATTTGAATTGATTTGAGATGTGTTCAGCTCCTTGTCGTCAGCGTTGGGAGGATCCTGCGCAGTTTCATTGACCTTTGCACGGGACACGCGTGAGGTCGGAGGCAGCGCATCCAATGCTGAAATTGGAGAAACTTAGTCGAGAACCGTCAGGAAATCAATCTGGGAGCCATCTCGCTTGTCAAAGATCAACTTGTTTGCCACCTGATGTGCATCTGGAGAAATGTGTTCCTCTCCCCGATGTCGGATACAGTACTGAATCGATCATCTCAATTCTATTCGCATCAGTTCAGAGTTGACTGGCCTTCGACACGACGATGTCCCAGGAGTACACTGACCTGCGATGCAAGACAAGCCCAAGAGCAGACCCCCTGCGCCTTTGTTGGCACTGAAAGTCACAGGAAGACGTCCCGTATGCGTTGCACACCTTGCAGCTGCCACAAGGCAGGCCAACACGTGATCAGTGGCCTCAGCAGAGAAGTTCGGGGTAGTTCAGGCTCACATCACCACTCAAAATGAACATGTCTGGACTATCAAGAAATATCAAGAATTGAAATTCGACCTTTCGGTTCATCTTGGGAAAGTGCAATGACCGTGACAGAGTCATCATTCTGCAGAAGTTCCTGCGAGGTATTGCTAAGTCATCAAGTTTCTGAAGGTTGTTCTACAATGCTAATTCAAATGCAAACCGAATGGAGAGGCTCCAAGCAACTAGGATCTACCCGGAAACTCTCAAGCACTTAGGTCAAAACATGCTGGAAACGACTTTCTGGACCTCTTGCTTAAAGAGATGCAAAATGATCGAAATAGCAAGACACACACACACACAACCCAAACTCTGCTCACACAAGCCACACACCGACTTGCTTGCAAGCAAAGAAAGCAGAACCACGTCTGCACTACCAGGCTTGCAGCACTACAAGATCCACAGGCAGCATGCAGCAGTCATCCAGCTTTGCAAGCCAACCCTCTACAGACTCTACAGCCTCAACACTCCACGCTTCGAAAAGAAGACGAAAGGAGTGGCAAACGTGCGGCATCATGCAGCATGGACAGTCCGGCAAGACCGGGTCATCTGAAGTGGTGACGTTGAAGAAATTCAGATCCTGCACTCAATCAAATCTTGTGGGCAAGCGAGAAAGATGAGAAAGTGAAACAAAAAATGCAATCAATTGGAAAAAGCATGTGATAAAAGAATTGGAAAAAGTCGTCCTCAAACCTCTTCAGCGGACGCTCAGTCTTTGCAGTGATGCGGTCGAACATCTGCGCAAACGGAGGCAGGAAAGCATCACTGGATTGTCTGAAACTTCGGAAACTGGACCATCTGCTGCGCTGCTGATCAGCAAGGGATACTCCAGTACTAATATCTACAAGTACTGTAGGTGCAAGGGAAGCTTCACCAGGGTGAAGGAGTCTAGGCAGTCAAAATCCGATCATATCCAATCAATGGGACTGGATTTCCTGTGATTTCCTTCTTGCAAAGTCTGGCCTTGCAATAGGTAGGCAGATTGCCGGCCCAAATGACATCTTCGAAGTCCACACCCTGAGGAAGCGCACGCCGGTTCTCTTGCTACGGACAGCGACAGATCTTATGTGAGGAAAGGAAGGCCTTCGCATCAATCTGAAGCTTGGCCTCAGCCGGAGTCCCAATCCCCAAGACAGCAGCAAAGGATCAAGTGCAATCACATTGTTGGGAAATGGATGGTAAAATAAAGGGAGGGTAAAACTGGTGGTGAAAAGGCCAGAAGTAAGAGACACAATGTTCCAGGTAAAGCAACTCGCAAATTCTATCAAATTCTTTCAAATTTCATAAAAACTCTAGCCGAGGAACAAGAGACGTAAGCATGATTTCGCGCATGAGGGTCCATTCAGGTCTAGTTTGCACTGACCACTCCTCACACCGGGATTTGGAAAGAATCAGACAAGCCAGCTGGAACTTTTCTTGCACTCATTGGCATAGGCATTGGCAACATCTCAGTGACATTCTATATCATTCTATCATGACCGTGATAATCATGGCAATGGTGCCCTGCCTTGAAGGAAGGCATGCCTCTGCGCGTGGCTGTGGTCTTCTTGCCTTTTCCTTTGGCTTGATTCTGGTTGGCCTCCCAGAGTGAATGTCTCAAGCTGAGCTTAAAGCTTGGCTACACTTTGCTCCAGCTGTCCCTTAATGATCAGCTATCATCGCGCCTGGTAGTAGGGTTTTTGCTTCTGTCCAAGAATACCCTCTTGGTAGTTTGCTTGGATACCCTTACCTTAATTCAGAGAAAGCAGCCAGCACAAGATTCTCCCAACTTTATGTTGTCTGGAATCAACAAAGAACCCCAAGGGCCGCACTCTTGCCTTTTCCCTTCATGCCTTCAAATTCAGAAGTCTAAAACCCGCCAGGACAAAAATCTTGGAGTCAACTTGACACGGCTTTCGGCAACTCCTGTGCTCATACTCCGAGCATACTTCCACAACATTCCACAACTCGGCCACGGCCATACCACGCATACTACCCCTGCCTGAGGAGCGACCCCTGCCCGTGGACTTGCCGGGCACTGGTCGGCTATCTACCAGGGAGAAGCCCTCCTCATCTTTGCCTCAGCATCTGCAGCATGGTTTAGGGCTTAGGGCTTATTCAGCTCATTTCAGCTCTGCACACCTCTGCTCCCCGGTTGATTTCATGCGGTTTTCTGCCCAAGCTTTGATGGATAGTAAGGATCAGTAGCCAAGAGGGTGGACTAGTATATAGGCCTGAGGATTTTGATAGCGATGAACATAGGATCGGATTCAGAATCTGAAGATAAGGGTTTGCCGTAAACATTTATATAAGTAATATCAATGTAATAACATGTATCATGTATCTGAATGTAGTAACCCCACACTGGGCTTTAACCTCTCATTCGTACAGCACATTACAGCACCTTAGTAAGTAGCATCATCATGTTGATGCCATGGTCTGCATACATTCGCAATCATTCACACGTCGGATCACAGCAGCAAAAGCGCCCCCCAACCCAAATTTACTCACGCATTCCCTCGTTCAGTGCACTCTAAAGCCACTCTGCTTTCGGCAGAAGCGGCACCATCAACTTTGGTTGATGGTGGAAGAAAGACGAGCACCGGCCACCTGCTCTTCAATGCCAAAAAAACTGCTGGATATCCAGATAGCGGCACATGGAAAAGCTAGCGGCCCTTGAGGTACCAACATACGCATGTCCCTGCAAAGTCCGTTTGGATTGCAAACAAGATGATTGTGGTCCATTGGTTTGATTCTACAGCACCAAATTACCGTTTGGGTTTTACAGGGGTATCAACTGATCATTCCAAAGCGTTTCTCCGGAATGGCCATGAATTCACTTCTATGTCCTACCAAGACGGGGCCGCTTCGATGGGATATGGTCCTCTGCGACAAGGTCCTCGAACCTGGCCAAAAACACGAAAAAGTTGCAAGGTCGATCCATTGAATCCATTGAAAAACAGAACAACATATGCCTTCAATATGCCCAGCCACAGCATTCTGCAATTGAAGTCCATACCATCAGGATAGTTTTGGTATGGTTTGGTTTCACATAAAAAAGCTGAAAGAATCTGAGCCCCGAACAACTGCCCCAGATCTTCAGATGACCTTGACACCACTTGCTCGCAGAGTCGCTGTGCCAGCCTGCAGGTGCAGTGGCAGATGCAGCGGCAGGGACCCACATATTTTCTGGGTAACAAAAATGTCTGGAAACGTCTCGACTGCCCTCCCACTGATTAAATAGGACTTGGGTGTGGCATCCGGTCGCACTTGCAAAGCCCCACTGCTAATGATGGCACCCTCTCAACATCCAAAATTATCGCACCATAATCATTACCATAGCACAAGTTCATGGCCGAAAGGGTCAAAAGGGCTGAGTACTGGCTGGGCCAAGTGACTCAGCACTGCAATACCTGCGACAGCTTTGCAGGAGCTCCTTGACATTCTGAGGACCGGCTGATTGCAATAGTGCCGCTTCAGCTATGTTTCTCACATCCTTCGCACAGTACTTATCTGCTATGGCCCAAACTTCAACCATATTCAACATATTCACATCTGCCGGAGTGTGCAGTAGTGTATAGGCCACATGGCTGTCCAAGAGCATCGACAGGAACAATCGAAAGCTAACTGACGAAAAGTCTGTAACTGCAACTCGACCAGTCATCGCCTCTACGCAGTTGCCGAAGAACTGGCGCTTAAATACTGGGCTATGAGCAGCAAGCACGAATTTGTTTGCCTTGATAGTTTCAGAATCCCCTTCAAACTCAAAGCTGACCATGTCTGACGTTGGATCCAGACTATTTGTGTCATCTGGAATCCCGGGAATTTCTGAATTGGCTGCACGGAAGTGCACGATTTCCAAGCGAGTGAGATCAAGCTTGGCACTTGTATCTGTCCGAAGCCTGTCGTCACATAAGAAGAGCTCAAAGTCTTGATAGCTCTTTAGGCCAAGCGGACTGAGAAAACGAACATGATTCGTCTGCGGACCAGACAAGTCTAAAGCAAACTGTACAGCCGCACCACAGCCCTTCAATTCCAGCACAAGCGTAGTAGTTCGCAATTCCAAAAGATTGGAGCCCCATAAGGCAATGCTTGTGATTGTGACTGGGGCATCAAAAAGCAGCGCTGTTCTAAAGATGCAAACTTCTCTGCGGATCCTCGTTGCACTCTCCGTGCTGGGCCGAGCTCCACGGACGAGCTGAGGCACTGTCTTTGACAAAGTGCACGTTTCACCATCCAAAAGTCTTCGGGCCACCGGGTCGAGCGACTCCAACTTCAACATGTCGTTCCAGGGCTTGAGCAGAAAGTGCGTGAGATCCAAATAGAAGATACGCCATCACCCTCAAACACCGGAAAACCATGAAAAACCATGGAAAACCGAGTGCATTGACTCTTGCGATTGGAAGTGGCAAGGATAGATACTATATATATATATACGTATATATAATATACGTATAATATATCATGGAATCATAGATCATATATTGTCATATATTGTCTACGCTATTGTATACTCAATGGTCATGCCCACCTCAAGTGCGCATCACAGAACTTAGGGTCCCACCTGGCTGCAGCGCCTGGATTGGGCCTTTGCCCTGGGCACTCAGGGGACTCCCAAATTCTAAGCCCTGCCCTCAATTTGCCCTCAATAGTTCATGTGGGGATGGGTCAAAACCCTGGTACCTAGTGAACCCCAAAATAGCTGGTAAATGGATGTTCATCCCACTAAAAATGTATCTATAGGTATTGACCCATACCCATGTCTTTATGTTCCAAACAATCTCAAAGCGACTGAAATCCACTTTCTTCATCTGTCTTCTGGTTTGATCACAAAGTTGACAAGGCTTTCACTCAAAGCGCAGCTGTTCGAGCCTTGCCAGCTCCCTTGAAGCCCTTTCCCTTTTGTCTCTCCGCCTTCAAAGCTCAGAGACTTGAAAAAGAATTATCTGAGACCTAGATTTTAGATGATTCCAGGTGATTTTGGATGAGTTTAAAATAACCTCTCAGCGAGGCAACACTTGCCAAAGCCCACCCTCTTGGGGTCGACAAGACCAATCTTGCAGCTGCCTGGTAGCGCTGCCCAGAAACTGTGAAATCGCAAACTCGGCCAATGCGAGTGACCGGGAACTTTTCCAAGTGTTCTACCTTGGCAAATCAAAGAAGGCAGTGCACAGGTTGACAAGTCGTACAAGTCCAGTATTGGGCGGAATCCAAAAATATCCAAAACATTGCTGTCCACAATATTCCATAATTTGCTCATGGATTCCATGGATCTGAATCTGAATCTGAAATCTAAGATAATCTAAGATCCAGGCGAAATCACCGATTCCAAGCGGGGTCTCCAACTCGCCCTGTGGTGGTGGCCCCCAGCCATCAATGTAGCTGCTAACCTGCTGACGTTGCTGACGAAGATGATGAAGAAATGTGTGAGAAATGTGTGACATCGTGTGACAATGGTTACTGAACTTTGCAGGCCTGTGGCAAAACAAAATCCACCATGGCGTACGAGTCACCTTGGCAGCATATGGCAGCATGATCTTATTCCTACATTATTTCTACATTATTTCCACTTTAAGTCACACTCACTGCACTCACTGGATAGGCAAAGAACTGAAACAAAAAGCGTGGAATTCAGACAGCATCTCCACGGGTCCATAGATCTAAGATGAAAGAATCGAAGTGGTGAAATGTGAACTTCAGGTGCCAAAGCATGAGCAAATTGTTTTTTTTTTACATGTAAAACATCTTGTTTGCACTATTATGCACTCAATCCACTGAAAGTTCTTACACGTGCACGTGGCCGTGTGTGTGTGTGTTCTGTTTTTCCTCTCTGGTGGTAATCTTGGCGAGGGGCAAGACCCAAAGGGCCAGTGGTGTCAAGTGAGCTCCGCTAAAACCGGCCTACCTAATCTGTCGGCCTTGAGCCCCACATTAGTTCACAAATGTTCACAAATGTTACACTTCGTGATTGTTCAATGTTCAATTCTCTCTTGATCCAGTGTTGGATCTGTCATTTGCCATGTCATCTGCTGGCTGACGGCGCACACTGTTCAAATCAACTCCGAAGAAAAGGAATGATGATGAAAGATGATGAAAAACATGCAAAGTGAAGCAAGGCCTGATGTCCTCGCAACCTCAAGGAAACGAAGCCTTCGTTGAGCGCTTTCATGCTCGAGTTCAGAATGCTACAAATGCGACAAAGCCTAAATCTGTCGATTCCTGCTCCAGACCTGACTGTAGTCCATTCCAATCCCTTTGAATGTTTTTTAATTTCAAGAACTAAAAAGGATCTGGCCTTCGGCATTTGACTTTGTGTGGCATTCAAGCAAGGCCTCAATGAGAATGCAAAATGGAAAAAACACACGAATACGGAATACGTATACTACTATATACAATAATAACTTGCTCAAAGGGTTCCAAGATTTCACATCTTTTTGATGTATTCAGAGGTGCAAGATCTGCGTGCCTTTGCCAGGTCTGTGGCTCCACCATCACCAGCACCCTGTTACCAAAGAGTCTGTGGATTCAGAAATTTCACAGCACATCTTGCCGTTCTTGTTGCAGTTTCCGACCAAAGATGTGTCGACTGTGTGAATACGCAGCCTGTCCAGGTCCGGTTTGAAAGAGAGAAACAATGCGCTCGCCGCGTCGGACCTGGCGAAATGGCGAAATGGGCAGCTGATGGTGGCTGCAGGGCGTCCATGTTGAAGATTTGGAGATGATGATTAAGAATGATGAAGATGTGTTTTTAGTATCATATATTTCAATTGTTGTTTGCTTTTTACATGTCTGAAGATTTTTTCTTTGGGATTTACATCTTTGAATCATTTTGAATCTATGTCCCAGCCTTGGTCAAAGCTCGCTCCAAGTCTGCTGCGGCAGAACCCCAGACATCAGCCACGTCCTGGTTTTTGTGCTAAAATGTGCAAAGAAACGACTTGAAACTACTTGTGCTATGAACTTTACCAGACACTACAGCAATCTTCAGCAGTATGTTTTGCTCTTTAATGCGAGCCCTGTTAGTACGTGCGCACAACAATTTGATGGTCCAAAAACAACCAAAAAGCCTCACGCAGCATTTTATCTGGGAGATATTATGCACGGGCATCTCTGGATGAATTAAGCACCCAAGACACATTGCATCCTTTGTGATGCACAGGTCAGGGAATCCAGGTGCTTGAAAGCATTGGGTGCTTGGATCTTAATCAAATCCACATCAGTCTCACGCTGCAACAAGTCTCTCTGATGCACTGTGCATGTCTGACATGGTTCGAATGAACGCTCTAGGTTGTTGTGTGCTGATTTCTGTTTCTTGGTAAATGCTACTGCTCAACTGCAGCCCTTGAAACCCTCAGACTCTCTGCTCATCGAGGCGTCCTGAAAGCAAGACAAATCCAAATTGGACGAAAGAAGCAAGAAACTCAGTTGCTTCACACAGGCATGGTTTAATGCACTGCTCCTGAGCGCTGACCGTTTGGGGCAGCTTGATCGTGTATCAACTTTTCACTGGCACCGCGCTTTCGGTTGATACCAGCCTCGCGCAAACTGAATATGCGTTCAAGATCTTTCAAGGGATATAGTGAAGGGTTTTCGAGAGCTGCCTTCAAGATCACTACTAATTATACTTACTTATATATGTCCAACATAGTCCAACATCTTGAGACACACAACCACGAAGTTGAAAGCCTTGGAACTTGGCGAGGCCCCTTCCTACTAAAATCTCCCACATCATGCGCCTGCTGAAGTCGAGCCCTCGTTCGTTCAAGCTCCTGAAGAGAAACTTCCAGCTTCAAGGACAGGGATGTATCAAGAAGTTGTCCAGGCAACATTGGGCAAGATATCATGATCACAATGTATTGCTCAACATACTGCGACATCCGGAGCCAAATCCCCTAAGATGAGTAACGGAGTCCGACGGAGTCATGTCATGTGTTGCTTCGGTCCTCCCAAAAGATCTCCTGCAGGGCTGCATTCTGACCCTTCAAGTCGCTCAGCAACCCTTTGGGGCGGCATGGAGCTCCCTCAGCTTGAAACTGCAACGAGTAGATTTCAAGCAAAAGTTTCCAAGAGCAATGACAGAATGACAATGAAATAACAATGAAATAACAATGAAATGACTCAACAGGAAGAAATAGTGAGAGTCTGCCAGCATGTTCGTTCATGGAATCTAGGGTTCTAAAAGTAGAAACAACGGGAGCTTTCATGATATCTCATATTCTTTCATGATCTTTCATATTCTTTCATGATTTTTCATATTCTTTCATGATTTGTCATATTCTTTCATGATTTTTCATGATTTTTCATGGTGCAGGTTCACAAATGTTGCCCAGTTGCTCGTGGCAAAGCCTTCCATTCCACTCTCTGCGTCTTTGGTTTGGCTTTCACTGCAATCTGACCAGCCATTGCTGGGGCCTCAGACGCAAACAAGGTGCATAGGTCCAGCCCATCAATTGCCATGAAGTCCCATGAAATGCCACATTTTGGATGATCCATGATGATCCTGACCCCACCAGTTGGATCTTCAGTGCGGTGATACAACATATATGTCATATTAATTCATATTATAATCATGTCAAACTACAGTCGTATCTCAGCAACGGGAAGCCCGGATAAACTTCCACCGGGTGGTGCATGGGAAGCCCCAGCTGCCTTCTGCTGCCGGAAGGGTGCCAGGCACTGGGCGAGGCCTTCGCGCAGCGAAGTGTGCTGCACAAGTTCACCCAGAAGACCATTCAGCCGAGAGCACTCCAACCTCAAACCAGTGACATCCAGTGACAAATCTGACAATGATAATGGACATTAATGGACAGTCAATCACCATCCATAACGATTCTCATCAAAGTTCACAACTGGTTGGGGAGAGGGGATAAAGAGAGCTTTATGAGGCTTTAAAATGTGATAAAATGTGTAAGAATGCATGAGAACTCCGAATACAAAGCCACTATAGGCCATCTTTGAGGAAGCGACCGAGCATCACGTGGGAGCGATGTGGCAGGTGGACTGGTGACCGCAGAGATTCCAGACGCGTCCAGTCCAGTAGTTTCTGCCACAAGCAACATCATTTCCTAAGCGACTCAATTTTCTCAACGTGTTTTTCAACGTGTTGCTACTTTGCCTGCGATGATTTCTAATATTTTCCCGTACAGATTTTGCTCCATGACCACACATATGGTTACAAGTTGATACAAGCTGAACCAGCTGAGTGCCGGGCGTGCCAGGTAAACTGTTCGTTACCTGAAGGAATTGCAGTAGTTTTCGTCTCTCAGCAAAAGAATCAGGGACAAAACCTGCGCAACTTTGTGTTTTCTCTCTTGGATTGGCCGATTGACCTCACATGAGCTCACTATGCTCTCACCGTCCCCGCATTCTTCACTCCACTTTTCCGCCACTCACACACTCTGGCCTTGCCAATGATAGATGCCTTGCAAGCGCTCTCCTGAAAGATGAAGCTCAACCATGGCCTTCAAGACGTTGGCCACATCGCCAGCCCAGGTAGGATAGCAACATTGCCAGGCATCCACTTCACCTTGGCGATGCGATGGCTACTCTGCACTGGGGCAGTCAGTAGGGCGCTGGACATAAAAGGACACAACTGGAGAAAAGGGCACCTACAAAAGTCATACAAATGCGGCATGGTCGCGGATGCCGTTGCGGAGATCTGTGTAGAGGCTGGTGATAGCCTGGCAGAATTGTGGACTGAAGTTGACGGCACTTCAGATTCAGGGCATTACAAAGCCATGCGTAGCGCAGATTTGATTAAAATGATTATTATATTATACAATTAAAAGCCACTACAGCGAAGTATGTTCGAACAGTTTATATCATTGCGATACTATTCCGTACACCTTCCCGACTTCAAAAATGTGTGGCAATGATGCCGGTAGCCATTTGAATCTACGCAGAAACGCACCGGTGTAAAGGCTCGGTCTCCTGAATAACCACGTGATATAGATCATATATAGTGTAATTTCTGGCAAGTCAGCTTCATCGCAGGGATGACACGGCTAATAATCAACTGTTTCACGCTTCACACAATGGCGTATTTTCACCTTGTCAAAGGCGTCCGAAACTGGAATCGGCTATGTAATTAACAGTTATGTAATAGCAGCAAGCGGAAGCACTGCCAAAGTCCAACTCCATCCCCAATGGCCCTAATGGGTCCACATATGTCCACATGGGATTTGAGAATATTTGAGATCATCATAGATCATCATAGATTGTCATAGCATATTCGAGCAAAGGAGCCGAATCCAGTGGGGACTCCACCGGTCCATAGAGCAGAGGCACTCGAAGTACAGCTGCAGTAGGGCAAGCTGCTCGTACCAGTTGTTCGCTGTGCAGTTTCTGCCAACCTTGGGCGGAAACGCCATGGATGGGTGAACTTGAGATTGCCAGGAGATCCAAAGTGAACCCAAGCAAACTTCTTGGGATGATCAAAGAAACAAGCGATCTTTGCAGCAAAGAAACCATACTCGCTCAGCGGGTTTGGTCTGGATTCTACAGAATATGGAGGCTTTGTCCCGTCGAACACGCAGTCCGCGCTCAAATGCACCTCGGCAAATGAATAGCGAGGACAGTGTCGCCATGCCATACTGTTGTTCCACAATCAGAGGCGTCGAAGACAGAAACTCAGAGATGCAACCCTTCCAGGTCTTTCCGATTTCAACTGAACCCTGAGGCAAACCAATTCTTATTCAATACATTCAATCACCCAGTCTTGGAATTTTCATGCAGTGACCACTTGTCGGCTTCGATGAGATGCAACCAAGAGACCAGCCATGCTTTAAACTTTTCGCAGGCTGCTGCGACAGTACCTGCAATATCTGGGCAATGATTCTGCAAAGTCCAGAACCCTAGTCTTTGTACACAACAAATCCGCCGACCCCGGCCTTCGCCAAGGCCGGGGCGGCGCCTGGGACCACCGCAGGTGTGGAACTTTTCCGCGCACATAGCCCTCTCTCGTTAAGGTACCAACAAGCCCAACACGCGCCACTCCCGCACACAAAAGCCACCACAAGGCCACAGCAATGGCTCAAGAGCACCCCACGGCCACAGCAATGGCTTCTTATACGCGTTCAAGGCTGCCGTTTGCCAGGCCTCAAACGCTCCAAAACCCTCCCAAACCCTCCAAACCCTCCAAAAGTCCGGCCAGCTCCGCAGGGAAAAGGTACCCCAACAAGCCCAACACGCGCCACTGCCGCACGCAAAAGCCACCACAAGGCCACAGCAATGGCTCAAGGGCACCCCACGGCCGCAGCAATGGCTTCTTATACGCGTTCAAGGCTGCCGTTTGCCAGGCCTCAAACGCTCCAAAACCCTCCAAAACCCTCCCAACCCTCCAACAGTCCGGCCAGCTCCGCAAGGAAAAGGTACCCCAACAAGCCCAACACGCGCCACTCCCGCACGCAAAAGCCACCACAAGGCCACAGCAATGGCTCAAGGGCACCCCACGGCCGCAGCAATGGCTTCTTATACGCGTTCAAGGCTGCCGTTTGCCAGGCCTCAAACCCTCCAAAACCTTCCAAAACCCTCCAAAACCCTCCAAACCCTCCAAAAGTCCGGCCAGCTCTGCAGGGAAAAGGTACCCCAACAAGCCCAACACGTGCCACTGCCGCACGCAAAAGCCACCACAAGGCCACAGCAATGGCTCAAGGGCACCCCACGGCCGCAGCAATGGTTTCTTATACGCGTTCAAGGCTGCCGTTTGCCAGGCCTCAAACCCTCCAAAACCCTCCAAAACCCTCCAAACCCTCCAAACCCTCCAAAAGTCCGGCCAGCTCCGCAGGGAAAAGGTACCCCAACAAGCCCAACACGCGCCACTGCCGCACGCCAAAGCCACCACAAGGCCACAGCAATGGCTCAAGAGCACCCCACGGCCGCAGCAATGGCTTCTTATACGCGTTCAAGGCTGCCGTTTGCCAGGCCTCAAACGCTCCAAAACCCTCCAAAACCCTCCAAACCCTCCAAAAGTCCGCCCTCCAAACCCTCCAAAAGTCCGGCCAGCTCCGCAAGGAAAAGGTACCCCAACAAGCCCAACACGCGCCACTCCCGCACGCAAAAGCCACCACAAGGCCACAGCAATGGCTCAAAAGCCACCACGCGTTCAAGGCTGCAGCCGCCCTTTGCCCAGGCAACACGCGCCATGCCGCACGCAAAAGCCACCACAAGGCCACAGCAATGGCTCAAGGGCACCCCACGGCCGCAGCAATGGCTTCTTATACGTGTTCAAGGCTGCCGTTTGCCAGGCCTCAAACGCTCCAAAACCCTCCAAACCCTCCAAAAGTCCGGCCAGCTCCGCAAGGAAAAGGTACCCCAACAAGCCCAACACGCGCCACTCCCGCACGCAAAAGCCACCACAAGGCCACAGCAATGGCTCAAGAGCACCCCACGGCCGCAGCAATGGCTTCTTATACGCGTTCAAGGCTGCCGTTTGCCAGGCCTCAAACGCTCCAAAACCCTCCAAAACCCTCCAAACCCTCCAAAAGTCCGGCCAGCTCCGCAGGGAAAAGGTACCCCAACAAGCCCAACACGCGCCACTGCCGCACGCAAAAGCCACCACAAGGCCACAGCAATGGCTCAAGGGCACCCCACGGCCGCAGCAATGGCTTCTTATACGCGTTCAAGGCTGCCGTTTGCCAGGCCTCAAACGCTCCAAAACCCTCCAAAACCCTCCAAACCCTCCAAAAGTCCGGCCAGCTTCGCAGGGAAAAGGTACCCCAACAAGCCCAACACGCGCCACTGCCGCACGCAAAAGCCACCACAAGGCCACAGCAATGGCTCAAGGGCACCCCACGGCCGCAGCAATGGCCTTCTTATACGCGTTCAAGGCTGCCGTTTGCCAGGCCTCAAATGCTCCAAACCCTCCAAACCCTCCAAACCCTCCAAAAGTCCGCCCAGCTCCGCAGGGAAAAGGTAACGCTCCAAAACCCTCCAAAACCCTCCCAACCCTCCAACAGTCCGGCCAGCTCCGCAAGGAAAAGGTACCCCAACAAGCCCAACACGCGCCACTCCCGCACGCAAAAGCCACCACAAGGCCACAGCAATGGCTCAAGAGCACCCCACGGCCGCAGCAATGGCTTCTTATCCGCGTTCAAGGCTGCCGTTTGCCAGGCCTCAAACGCTCCAAAACCCTCCAAAACCCTCCAAACCCTCCAAACCCTCCAAAAGTCCGGCCAGCTCCGCAGGGAAAAGGTACCCCAAACAAGCCCAACACGCGCCACTCCCGCACGCAAAAGCCACCACAAGGCCACAGCAATGGCTCAAGGGCACCCCACGGCCGCAGCAATGGCTTCTTATACGCGTTCAAGGCTGCCGTTTGCCAGGCCTCAAAACCCTCCAAAACCCTCCAAAACCCCCCAAACCCTCCAAAAAGTCCGCCCTCCAAACCCTCCAAAAGTCCGGCCAGCTCCGCAAGGAAAAGGTACCCCAACAAGCCCAACACGCGCCACTCCCGCACGCAAAAGCCACCACAAGGCCACAGCAATGGCTCAAGGGCACCCCACGGCCGCAGCAATGGCTTCTTATACGCGTTCAAGGCTGCCGTTTGCCAGGCCTCAAACGCTCCAAAACCCTCCAAAACCCTCCAAACCCTCCAAAAGTCCGGCCAGCTCCGCAGGGAAAAGGTACCCCAACAAGCCCAACACGCGCCACTGCCGCACGCAAAAGCCACCACAAGGCCACAGCAATGGCTCAAGGGCACCCCACGGCCGCAGCAATGGCTTCTTATACGCGTTCAAGGCTGCCGTTTGCCAGGCCTCAAACGCTCCAAAACCCTCCAAAAGGAAAAGGTACCCCAACAAGCCCAACACGCTCCACTACTCCGCACGCAAAAGCCACCACAAGCCACCGCCTGGCTCAAGGGCACCCCAACGGCCCAGCAATGGCTTCTTATACTCTTCAAGGCTGCCGTTTGCCAGGCCTCAAACGCTCCAAAACCACATCCTCCGGCAAGCTCCGCAGAAAAGGGGTACCCCGCAAGGAAAAGGTACCCCAACAAGCCCAACGCACGCCACTCCCGCACGCAAAAGCCACCACAAGGCCACAGCAATGGCTCAAGAGCACCCCACGGCCGCAGCAATGGCTTCTTATACGCGTTCAAGGCTGCCGTTTGCCAGGCCTCAAACGCTCCAAAACCCTCCAAAAGTCCGGCCAGCTCCGCAGGGAAAAGGTACCCCAACAAGCCCAACACGCGCCACTCCCGCACGCAAAAGCCACCACAAGGCCACAGCAATGGCTCAAGAGCACCCCCCGGCCGCAGCAATGGCTTCTTTTATAGGCGTTCAAGGCTGCCGTTTGCCAGGCCTCAAACCCTCCAAACCTCCAACTTCCAAAAGTCCAGCTCCGCAGGGAAAAGGTACCCCAACAAGCCCAACACGCGCCACTCCCGCACGCAAAAGCCACCACAAGGCCACAGCAATGGCTCAAGGGCACCCCACGGCCGCAGCAATGGCTTCTTATAGGCGTTAAACCCTCCAAACCTTCCAACTCCTCCAAAAGTCCGCCCAACTCCGATGCAAAAGGTACCCCAACAGGCGCCACGCCCGCACGCAAAAGCGACGACAAGGCCACAGGCTTGAGAAGCAAACGGCCATATGTCTGTCTTGCTGTCCGTCTCCCTCTCTCTCTCTACAGTACCCCCCTCCAATTAGGGGGGTCGGCGGCACCTGGGCGCTAGCCCATTCTATAGGGAGGAAACAGCTCATGGACAAATCGAATCATGCCATACTCTTGCTGCATCCCAGAGAGCTGCCTCCCATGCTCTGCCAAGAGCCAGCTTATTAAAGTCAAATCTTTCAACGCCCCACACGAAGGCGGCAATGTAAAGTTCGCATCATCAACAAGCACCAATGTTTCGACTGCATTTTTTGTTCTCTCCTGTCAACCAGTTCGATAAGAACACAAGAGAAATCATGATTAGACGCACTTTTTTGGTATGTTTTCATTTTTCCTAAATGACAGAGCCCCTTCAGAGAACGGCCAGTCTGGTCGTCCCGGCCTGCAGCATCGACGTTCAGCTGGCGTGCTTGCTCGGGAGACTGGCGCAGCGCTTCCGGCCGCCATTCAGCCGCGAGATGTAGCACCACCTGGAGCTAGGACGGTGGACGAACTGGTGCTGGATGTGTTGGACAAGAAGTTGGACAAGATGCAGAAAAGTCGTTTGGCAACAAGATGCAACAAGCACTGACAAGCACTATGTTTTTCCAGGCCATAAATCATCCTTCATATACAGCTATGTATGTAATTCATCAATGAAGGCACAATGTTATTCAAGACATTTAAAAACAGAGAAGCATAAAAGGAATTTAGGAACGGTTGATGGATAGGATTTTGTAAAATGAATAAGGTAATAATGCTTTTGACTGCTATGAATTTGAAAAATGAATGAGGTAAGTATGCTTTGACTGCTATGATTTTGAAAAATTGACTGAGGTAAGTATGCTTTGACTGCTATGATTTTGAAAAATTGAATGAGGCAAGTATGCTTTGACTGCTATGATTTTTAAAAATTGAATGAGGTAATTATGTTTTGATATTGTTGAGAAAAATGAAGCAATTAACAATATATAAACTGGCTTTTTGGACTGTTATGTTTGTTTTTTTTTATGAATAAATTTTGATTTGTTATACTGCTATGATATTAGTTTAGAAAACTTCACTGAATCAACTGTTTTTACATTTTTTAGGGGAGGGGGGGGTGTCCCTTTCTCCTGGTCGTTCAGGGATAAGGGGTCCAGCCCGCCCCTTTGCTTCGCAAAGTAAAACTCAAGGTAGCCCGCCAGGAGGCTACCTTTCGTGATATGAGTTATAATTGAGTTATAGTTGGGTTATTACGAGTTGATTTCATTTTATCTCGCCTCATTTTCACCTGGCCATGTCATCCTTTGACACGTGCATCCTCTGAACATGTCGGTATCCCAGGCCTGTGGCCGGAACTGCTGCATGAGTTGCCAAAACGCCTCTTCCTGCGTCAAATCGCAGGTCACAATGGAGGGAGGCTGCGTTCTGCTTTTGCAAAGCCCACAGACCTGCCAAAATCATCCAAAATATGCAAAACAAAGATGCAAACACTAAATGCCAATGACTTCTGCAGGTATTAAACAACAAACAAGGTATATCAATATCAAGGTATCCACTACTGAAGATTACCGAAGCAAGACGTAGCACTTGCGCAGATGGAGCCCCATGATGAGGGCCCCATGAGGTCGAACCCAGCCGAGCCTCCCAGCTGGTGCTTGAGAGCGTTCGCATCATCTGACGCCCAAGCAAGCCTGTGGCACCTGTCACCAACACTCGCGGTGCAGGCCTGCGCTGAGGAATGGGATGAAATGGGGACTTGGCTCATTGACTCCTTATTACACACATTGAGACTAGAAGATGCTACTCATCTTATTGAAATCAGAGGTTTAAGCTGATGCAACTGCATGGATCGACTGGAATAGGAAAACAGCTCTTTCAACTTCGATGCGACAAATGCAGGTACTGCAACTACCCTGGCCTGGAAGCCTGTTCGGGTACAGCAAAGCTCGCAGCAGACGACCACAAAGAACCTGACACTGTCATTTCAGTGATTCGACCTGCGCAGTTCCACGGACCCCTCTGTCCAGCCTCTGCCAAGAGCATCTATCTAAACAAATATCTAACCAATTCTAACCATCTATTTAAACCAAGCTGTAAAAGCCAATTTGTTCATTCCCTCACCTCCAGATGCAGATGTCCCGGCAGTCTCGGCCACGTCCTTGTGTCCATGCCTCACTTCTGTTTTGGCAACCGCAGAAAGCTTGGCAGGTAGCAGGCCTGAAAGGATTATAAAATATTGCAAACTTATGCAAATACTTACGTCTACAGGTCAAGACTGTGATGACAGAACAACGGATCTTGCTGTAGACAGCAAGTTGTTTGGAAACGAAGGACACAGGTCAGCCATGGCACAGAGTCTCACCTGGAGGGCCTAGGAGAGCCGTGGCAGACGCGGTAGGTGTCTGATCACTGCGGATCAGTGGGATCCAGTGGGTTATTGAAATCTTGACCAAATGCCACTGTTGCCACTGCTGCCAGTAATGAAAATCATGCAAACCGCCAGTCCCACCCATATTTTTTGTCCGCCATGGGTGTTGAAACATCCATAGGCCCGCAAACGACGACGGCTTCAAAAACATGACATGTTCCTGTCATGTTCCTTTCATTCTCCTTTCATGTTCCTTTCATTTGTATTCATTTCCCTTCATGTTCCTTTCATATTCCTTTCATTTTCATTCCAATGTACATTCATGTCCTTTCATCTTCCTTTCATTTGCATGCATTTTCCTTTCATGTTGCATTCATGTCCTGTCATTTCCTTTTCTAGTTATGAAAATTGCTCTATGGCTTGGCCAGGGGACCGAGTGCAACAAATGGTTATCGCTATATCGCTAAATAACCCCTCGAACATATGACATTGTTCGAAGGAAATTTGCCACAAAAACGACAGTGAGAGAGAGAGAGAGGAAAAAAAAAGAAAGCGAGCGAGCGAGCGCGATGCCAAATGATATGGTAACTGCAGGAAACATGGCACCACAGGTTGGATTTCTCTCATCGGTTTTGCCCGTTCTGTGAATGTGCATAACAGTATTTGCTTGGTTTACGCCAAGTCTAATGGACTGTCGTGTATGGTCCCAGGTTATCGCTTTTGGGGGGGGCCTATCGCTTTACAGTGTTTCGTGCACATCTCTGACAAAAAAACTCCTGCAATACTAAAGTGGTCTTCAACCATTTTGACCGTGACTCATGTGAAAGGGTAAGCTGTTGGATTCTTTGATTTTGTTCTACACTGTATTCAAACTCTGCCTGACCTCCGTACTGGTTCCAAATGTACCTAAATGAGTATGGTGACGCCATTGTTGTCGAGGGCCCCCTACACGTCTTCTAGTAATCGGGTATGCATTAGCACTGTTTTGGTTGGTATGTGGGTCCGCTTCAGAAGTTCTTAGAATATGTCCTACAAATAATATGAGTCCCCTATGAACCAGGGTACACCTTAATGAACTTTGAAGTCTCTCGTCGCAGCTCTCCAACGTCTAATGATTAATGTCTCAATGGGCTACAATAGGCTATCCTCTTATGCAGCAAAGCAGCGCCCATTCGATGACGCTTTTCGCAGTGGATGCCTTAGATGAAACTAGTCACCAAGGATCACCAAGGTGTCAGGCTGGATGTGCCTGTCTCAAAAACATACCAATAGAATCCAACAAACATACTAATAGAATCATCCCTGCAGTCGCCCTCTTCAAACAAGACACGCTGCTTCCATGGCAGTTGCAACCTCTATCTCTAGAAGCTGCTCCCTCCACAGCGCTGTGGCTTGCGAGGCTTGGTCTCTGGGCCTTTCATCTTTTGGCTTCGAGGATCTCTCAGTGAAGCTGCCGGCAGTTGGCCAGTCTCCTCTCTGGAAGCCTTGGAAGCCTTGGAAGCCCATGGATCCCATGGATCCCATGGAACCAGCTCCTTGGAATCCACCTCCATCGAATCGCCCATGGGACACGGAGTCCTGCTCCATGGGCGGTCTCTGCATCGCGCAGGAAAAGCTTCCAGTTGGATCAGTTGGTAACATCTGCCGCATCTGCCCACGGTCACCCTCCTTGGAACGAAATGCTGCACTTTAAAAGAAGATTAAGAAGATCGTCGGTGCACTCTCTCTCTCTCTCTCTCTCTAGATTACAAATGTCAACTCTCCCTGTATCTCTGATTGAAATTATTGATTTCAAACTTCAATTGACAATTGAGTAAAACATAGTAAAACAGTTTGAGGAATCTTAAACAAGTGAGACTCCCTCTCCTCCATCTCTCGTCTGTCTTTTCTGCAGTGCTCTTCTGAATCCCTTCGAGCTCTGGTGGGTGTAGGCACCGACATAGCACCATTGAAGAAGTTCAATCCCTGCGGTTGCTGCAAACCGCCGTGATACGGAAACCCTCCAGGTCTAGGGGTGATCCCAACTGGTGGAATCGGTGGAATGGGAGCCCCCAGAGGCATCGGAGCCACAGCTGGCGCTGGCGCCGATGGAAAGCTTCTCCCCGTGCTCAAAGATCTGCGGGAAGCAGCAGCTCTCAAGTCGAAGGATGGAGTTGGCTGAAAGGGAAAGGGACCACATGGCCCACAGGGACCACCAAAGGGATTTCCCAGAGCCGGAACCGGTGGAGCTGGTGGTGCTGGTGGCACAAATGCTGTTTGAGAAGCACCTACACCCTCACTTCCTGGATAGGCATTTTGCACCTTTCCAGGCATCCCAAATGAGTTCAAAGGATCAGGAAGAACAGGTGTTTGCAAATGCCCCAACTTCAACAGAGGCGGAGCTTGCAAGACAAAGCGGCGAGGCGCTTCGCTCCATCCACGAATCTTTCGTGGCTCTCCCTGAGAAGCCTGAGACTGCTCACAGAGCGGCACCTCACCACCATGTCTTTGACGGTCTAGCACACGAGACATGCAAAGTGGGCGGCCCAAAGACCCTGAGCGCTTCCTGGATGTCAGGACCGCTGCCTGAGCCTTGTCGAATCTGTCGGTCTTGCCGACTTTGTTTTTGGCGTCACTTTCCTTCGCCTCATCGTCACTGTCACCACTCTTGGTGTACCGATATCGTGGAGGCGTCTCTGGGCCGGGCATTGCGGCCCTTTGCCATGAGGGAATGAAAGGCAGAGATGACAAGTCGTGTGATGCTTCCAGGTCTGTCTTATTCATTAGGTCTTTCAGAGTGACAAACAAAAACAAGTAAAAACAAACATTTGAAGAATTTTGAAGAAGAACGATGTGGTGCTGTACTGATCCATACTGCTGTTGCTTGCTGGGCGCATCTGCTTCGCATCATCTTTTTGCTCAGTTTCGATTGTCACGTCACTTCAGCTTATGATTGGACTTTGGAAAGCTGCAGCAAAGGCTTCAAGGATTTGCTGTGTATGTATCAAATGCAATCTGCATTGTAACACGATTGAGATCATTGGCTCAAATGTATTGAATCTTTGAAACGGTGAGTCTTGCAATGTATGGCTTCATAGTGAAACGTCGATAATGTCGATATGTTCATTCAACGCTAGTCCTCCTCCTTGTTTTTTCGACGCCTGGACGCATTCTTGGACATGGGCACCTTGCGGAAAACGCATCCAAGAGGCAGGCAGCTCCGATCAAAAGTAAGAGACAACTTCAGCCTGGAATTCAAAAGATTCTATAGATGCCTGATGAATCATGATGATTCATAATTGATACATTTTCTATTGTGTTCCAATGTCTTATCTTCACATATTTTCACCTTTCCATGCTGTCTTTCCTGAGTTGCAAGAATTGACAGTGGAGAGCGCGAAAACTCTTGAAAATTCCCCTACAGTAAATGTGGCCACACACCAAAAAGGGCTGTGCGCTCGCTCCATGCGCTACATACCTGTCACACCCGTACAGTATCTACAGTCTACACACGGAGTTCATGCGCAGCTTATCTACAGATTCTACAGTCCACAGGTCCTACAGGTGATGGAGCTTGCCTTGCGAAGGGAAAACAGTACAGTCTTTTGCTCAGCTTCTGGCCAAAATGCGAGAAGGCAGAAATGTCACGAAGGATCCGTCCGAAAGGAGTGTTAATATATTATATTATTATTATTATTATTATTCTCATTATCATTATCATTATTATTATATTATATTATATTATATTATATTATATTATATTATATATGTATATATATATATGAAAATGTTACTATGTATGTATATGTATGTGAAATGTGTCCTTCTTGGATGATAGTTGATGATTATTGATGATCGTGTTGTGCACGATGCCCAGTCATGGTGGTGCTGTTACTGGATAGCTGAGGCTTTGAGCCAGTCATCGTAGCAAGTGAAATCCGTGTCTCCTTCAAAAGATGGACTGAGCTGATCACAGAGACATCACAGAGCTATTTGGGTTTCTGGTGGTTTCTGTCTGCGCATGGGACACCTTCTTGGCTTTCATGAGGTTGACGACCAATTGAGGCGTGCCATACCTACAGATTCACTTCATATACTGTAGTTCATAGATTGATCTGAGCTGCCAGCTGATGATGCTGATGCAAAAACGAAGCAACCATGGGGCCTCTCCAACAAATCCACGAAGTGTCGCCGTGTTGCCGATAGTGTTGGATCACACAGGGGGTACACGACCTTGATCTCACAGACTCGGAGTCATGTTCGGCGGTCTCGGACTTCAACAACTGTTACGTACAGTAGTTCACACCGTTTGCCCGAAGAAATGAGCAATCAACTACAGTTAACTACAGTATATCAAGATATATCAAGATATATCAAGGATGTCCAAAGTCCAAGTCGGTTCGGTGGATATTTCAAGATCTCGTCTTTTCCGAGATCACCTCAAAATCCTCAAAGACCTGGTCTCAGTTTCCAGCTGGAGGCTTTGGATTGTAGGCGGCAGCTTCTTGTGACCAAAACAACGGAACGCTGCCGCGTATCTGTTCAGAACGGCCATGCGTTCTAATGACACAGAAACAGCTTGACATAGCTTGACAAAGAGTAATCAGTAGATTCAGGTTTGACTAGTAGTGACTAGTGGCATTTCAAATTGAGTGACCAGAATCAGTGATTGTATGTGATTGTCGATTCAGCAAATATCAGTGGATAGGCTGCCATGGGATGCCATGGGCTGCATGTTTCATGTTTCAGAGCTGCAGAGCGGCCTGCACAAAGCTCATCACATGGCCACACGCCAAATGCCGAGTCGATTCATCACAAAGAAGTTGCTCTGTCTCTACATCGTTCGCCACCTCACGGCAACATAGCAAGCGTCGGCTTTCTGGTCAGACTGGACTCCGTGATCATCTTGATATATCTTGATCTTTGATGGTCAAGCCGTCAAGCCCTCTTTTAAATATATTTTAGATCATGTTAGAATATGTTAGATCTCTTTATTATCCGTTGGATCATCTTTGATCCTCTTTGCCCGTTCGGAAAACCGGTTTGCAAAAACACGCAAAGTCGACAGGCAACACTTTTGCTTCAGACCTGCCCATCCACATTGAGACCGCGTTTGCGGTACCCTGGCCGGACATCCAGAAAAAGAGTGGGGAAGTACTATCATCCACACTGGTCCATACTGATACCAACACGTTGGTCAGTACTGGTGGTATCAAATGAACCTGCAATGTGCAATCCATTGCAATCCCAAACCAACCGCAACTTGTCCATAGTCCGTGGGTCCATGGATATCTCCACAGGGATGAACTACTCAACTCGGCCCTGAGCAAATTCCTGCCAGTATCACGAGTGCCAGCATAGAAGCGGGAACGCCTTGCTGACGTGTGAGGTAGGTGGCTTGTAGTTCAGGTTGGAATGAATTTCACACAGATTGGATCAATCCCTAACTCAGAGTCTTGTACACAGACAGCCCTGCCTCGCTATCAAAGCCACCGAAAATGACCAGCCAAAGGAAGAGCATCGTGTTTGCCTCACAGCTACGAAGATCCATCCCGATGCACATCCCATGGAGGGACAGATCGACGGTCGAGGGTCTGAGATCCAAACGCAAAAAAACCATGGATGATGGGCAGGCACCAGTGCTGCCAGTTCTCCTTCTGGAGGAAGGGAGCCATATGGAAATGATTCCACCTTGATATGCAGTCGACATGCAGTCAACTTGCAGTCTTGTACTGTCCATCAGCTGCCAAAATGTCGTGTCATATGTGTCATGGTTACCGTTCCCAACTTTCTGGTTCTTCTTCCCTTTCCGAGGGCAAAGAGTCTGTAAGGTCTCAGCACAAACCTGTGATGCTTGGACGGGTCCTGGACATGGACAGAGTCTTTACCATCTCTGAGTTCCAATTCTATTCATAACTTTCTTTGCACGCAAGTGATCCGCGATATTCACTGACCCCTTCAAAACTGGAGACCAGAAAAGTGGCGGAGAATGAGATGTATCTCAGTATATAATGTCTGCATGAACTAGTACTAGAAGTAAGGAATCTGCACCATAAACCTAGGTTGCTGTTTCTTCGCAACCCGTCAACTGTCCTTCTCCAGATATAAGGGCCTCAAATTTACACCTCAAAGTGACAGGGTTTGCTATCACTTCACAAGAGAGCATGGCCTTGCTTTGCATCCTCTTTACATTGATACTGTGGATGGAAGAAATCCTGCAGCACCTTTGATGGTTGAACCCCTATAAATCCGCCGACCCCGGCCTTCGCCAAGGCCGGGGCGGCGCCTGGGACCACCGCAGGTGTGGAACTTGTCCTGTCGGACCACCCTCCAAAACCCCCTCCAACACGTCCAAACCCTCCAAACACCGTCCCCAGCAGGCACCCCAGGGCCAAGGCCACTTCCCCAACAGGCACCCCAGGGCCAAGGCCACAGCAATGGCTTTCATTGGCTTTCAAAGCTGCCGTTTGCCAGCCCGCAAACACTCCAAACGCTCCAAAACTCTCCAAACGCTCCAAAACCCTCCAAACCCTCCAAACACCCTCCAAAACCCTCCAAACCCCCCAAACCCTCCAAAACCTTCCAAACCCTCCAAACACCCTCGAAAACCGTCCAAACCCTCCAAAACGTCCAAACCCTCCAAACACCGTCCCCAGCAGGCACCCCAGGGCCAAGGCCACTTCCCCAACAGGCACCCCAGGGCCAAGGCCGCAGCATAGCTTTCTATGGGCTTGCAAAGGTACCAAACCCTCCAAAACCGTCCAAACCCTCCAAAACGTCCAAACCCTCCAAACACCATCCCCAGCAGGCACCCAAGGCCCCGGGCCAAGGCCACAGCAATGGCTTTCTATGGGCTTGCAAAGCTGCCGTTTGCCAGCCCGCAAACGCTCCAAAACTCTCCAAACCCTCCAAAACCGTCTAAACCCTCCAAACACCCTCCAAACCCTCCAAACACCTTCCGCCACAGGCACCCCAGGGCCAAGGCCACTTCTCAAACAAGCACCCCGGGGCCAAGGCCCTGGGCCAAGGCCACAGCAATGGCTTTCTATTGGCTTTCAAAGCTGCCGTTTGCCAGCCCGCAAACGCTCCAAAACTCTCCAAACGCTCCAAAACCGTCTAAACCCTCCAAACACCCTCCAAAACCCTCCAAACACCTTCCGGCATAGGCACCCCAGGGCCAAGGCCACTTCTCAAACAAGCACCCCGGGGCCAAGACCCTGGGCCAAGGCCACAGCAATGGCTTTCTATTGGCTTTCAAAGCTGCCGTTTGCCAGCCCGATAACGCTCCAAAACTCTCCAAACCCTCCAAAACCGTCTAAACCCTCCAAACACCCTCCAAAACCCTCCAAATCATTAGAAAAAAGTAGGCCCTCCAATCAGGGAGGCTTAGATCTGAAGGGTGCTTCAAATTCATATGTCTCAAATACACCCCTAATGAGCTCAATGTAGACATGTTTGAGTTTAAAAAAGGCAAATGCTGCTTTTCTGATCCGGGACCATTCGCGTGAAACAGCAAGTGCTGATGACCTGCAGCCATCGCAAAACAAAGGGTTCTGTATATGGTACATGTACAGTGACAGCTTTATATATATATATACATTTACATATAACTATAAGTTTCAACACTAAATTGATACATGGAAACTTTTACAATAGGGGCTATGTCTTCAATGGTGTATGACACTGACCTGAAATCCGTAGCAAAGTTGGTGAGACGTTCGGCTGGGAGTGTTCACTCATCTTTGGCCTCGGATCACCGATGGAAAAATAGCAGTCCATGTGGTGGAATACTTGTCAACAAAGCTGCTGATGACTACAAACGTCAATATGTTCCGAAACATGTTTCAAACACATATAATTTAAGATTCGATAAACCTTGCAGTTGCTGCCACCCTTTGCACGACGCAAACCCACACGGCTTGACCAAAAGTTTCTGACAGGTCCTGAACTTGAGGAAACTTGCCAAATGGTGAAAACAGGCTTCTGCAGACAACACTGGTAATTTGGTTTGAACATATTTGATGTGTATGCAATCTTGTATGGTAACCTTACAGTTTCAACTGTTTGATCATTTCCTCTTATCGTATCTAGTGGGAGGAGGCATCTTCAAAATTTCAGGTTCGAGCAGGTCCAAAATGGCTGGCTCGACCGCACGTTGAAACTCGACATGTTCTTCGATGTGGCCTTTGTCTTTCAAGCGCTGGTATTTTTGCCAGGCATGGCTATGTACATCTACCAAAGCATCTTTCCAAGACAGGCCCACACCACTGCCAAAGGATTTGGAATAGCTCTTTTGGGAAAAAGGTGAAGCCAGCGAGCGCAAATGCACATGCAAAAAAGTTGCAGTCTCAGCCTTGAATCGGTGGTCGTTGAAGGACAGCCGCAAAACAATCCCCGGTGGTGAAATTTGCTCCAAGATCTCAGCTGGACTTCGGTGCTGACGAGGAGCTGGGGCTCGAGGTGCCATCCGACCAGCACCGCTGTCTCGCAAATCAGCCAGAACTGTATCATCATCAATTTCATCTGGGCCGAGCCTTGGGCCCTCAGGTTCAGCTCCTGCTGGAGCTGCAGGTAAGACATCATCTTCCATTGGAACTGCTAAATCATTGGGGTTTAGCTCTGGCTCCTCTGGCTGCTCGGCCTGAGCATTCTCTGGAGCCTCATTGTCTCGAAGTGGTCGCTGCCCTGCAGCATCTGGCGCTGGAGGCGACGGCTCTGCCTCAGTCAAGCAAAAGCATGTTACAAAAAGCTGCTTTGCTTCATGTGATCTCCCCATTGAAGCTATCTGACAAGTGTTTGGGCGCACTTGTTGGTTCATATGATGCCCTCGTACTTGCCATACATTTTCACAAGCCCTTGTCTGGCATATGATTACTTTGACAAATTATAAACAGCTCATTTCTAAATGTGCTATCATACATGTAAACACATTCTCACAGATGTTCTAGCGTTATATTTATATTCTGGCATGCGGAATGCTGAGGGTTCTGAGTCGCATCAATTTTTAAAGTGAATATGTAAAATGTACTCGCAGTTGTCTGGCACTTGTCATATGTTTCTACTTGGACACCTTACGACTCAATTAGTCGACTGGGGAATACATTCAATGAATGAAGTATGCACTCGTGCTCGGGTCTGGAGGGCCCTAGACTAATCCCGAATTGATGATGATACTCCGAAGCAAATCTGATAATGTAATTTTATATTACAATATGCCTGGCTGCCAGTCTAGCGGCGGGCCCCATGAACAGTGAGCTGGACATGATTAAATCATCTGAGTCCCCTACATTGCTTAATGCAAGCAAGAGATTGCCGACTTAATGCTGCAATCACAAAAGCGAAACACCAAATAATAACAATAATTACTTTACTTCGAGCGATCCCCACCATGACATTTATACGTTTTGGTACTGGCAAATCTTCTGACATTCTATCTGACATACCTTCTGGCATTCTATCTGGCATATCTTCTGGCACTCTACCTGGCATATCTTCTGGCATATCTTCTGGCATTCCATCTGGCATTCTATCTGACATATCTTCTGGCATATCTTCTGACATCCTATCTGGCATTCTATCTGGCAAATCTTCTGGCATTCTATCTGGCAAACATTCTGGCACTTTATCTGGCATACCTACTGGCACTTTATCTGGCATACCTGCTGGCATTCTATCTGACATTCTATCTGCCATACCTTCTGGCATTCTATCTGGCATATCTTCTAGCATTCTATCTGGCATAGCTTTTGGCATTCTAACTTGCATACCATTTTTGCAAATCTTCTGGCATTCTATCTGGCATATCTTCTGGCATTTTATCTGGCATATCTTCTGGCATTTTATCTGACATGCTATCTGGCGTTCTATCTGGCATATTATATTTTCTGGCATTCTATCTGGCCGTTGAGGTCCAGCGGTGCTCACTGAGCTCGGAAGGTCCCAGGTTGAGGTCCAGCGGTGCTCACTGAGCTCGGCGGGTCCCAGGTTGAGGTCCAGCGGTGCTCACTGAGCTCGGAAGGTTCCAGGTTGAAGTTCAGCGGTGTCACTCACGGTTCGAGGTTGAGGTCCAGGGGTGCCCAGTGCACTCAGACCCTTGCAGTTGAGGTCCAGCAGTGCACACTGCGTACGGAAGTTGGCGAAGAGCTTGGCGAAGTGAAGAGTTGGCAAGGCGGAGGTGGAGGAGAAACTGGAGGAGGAGGAGGACGAGGAGGACGAGGAGGAGAGGAGGAAGAGGAGGAGGCGGAGGAGGAGGAGAACGAGGAGGAGGAGGAGAACAACTGTGATAAAATCTATACTAAAAACATCTAAAATAAAAACCCTCACCTGGCAGGCGGTGGGAAAAAACGATCTCTGAAATTCAAAACCACAGTGCTGCCTTGTCATCGGCCATGTCCGAAGCCTTTCGTTTTCGCCCGAATTTTCCCATGGCCTTGGCCTTGGGTTTCGCCTTGGGTTTCGCCTTGGCCTTTCCCTTGGCCCTTGGCTTCTTTTTCGCCATAGCCTTTTTCCATTGAGATTCGACTAAGCTCCAGCCTGATTTCTGTTTGCTCTCAATCACTTGGGCAACCAACTTGAAGTCATCCTGGTCTTCGGCTGGCAGCTCTCCCAAAATGAGTTCGTCTAACTCATCTCCAATTTGCTTTTGAGGCTTCTCCGGCTTCTGCATATCGGACTCGATTGCATTGATGAAATCTACATCTCGGCCCCCAATCACATCTACAAGTTTGTGGATCAAGTCCACTCGCTTCAACCTCTTTGTCTCTTCAACATCAAGCTGGAAAAAGCCAGCAAGGATTTGCAAGTCTGCCACTGTCACATTTTTGTGCAAGGAAACGTCTGCAAAGAAAAATCGAAGCAATGTCTCCTTGCTCTTCATCACCATAAAGATTTGGTCGTTGAAAACTTGAGCGCTGGCGCTCACCACCATCCAATCCATTGGGTTTACAAGAAATTTCCAATGAGCTTCACCAGTCGGCGACAAATAGTAGCCAGTAAAACCTGAATCTTCATCATGAAACTCCAAAACGGGCCACATGAGGCATCCCCAGCAAGCATTGCCAAGACAAAAACCGACATAGCCAGTGTCGACCTGCTGCAGGAACTGAAGCTGCACTGCAAATTTTGATAACCGGCCCTCTGCTAGTCGAAGCCCTTGCTCACCCATTCGTTCCGAAGTGTAAGCCCGGAGGAAAGCCAGCGCTGCAAAGCCTCTGTGAAGCACCTCTTCAGAGATTGTAGACCACTGCTTCCGGCCCATCACTGTAGACCAGGATTCGGGCAGTTTGTGGTTTCGAGCAAAATAGCGCCTGACTGAAGATGCTGGAACAGCCAGGAACAAAACAACATTGAACGTGGAATACAAACAACATGGTGAAGCCATCGCCTGCATCGCCTTTGATTTGACTTGAAGTTGAATTGAAAACCCGACCCATTAATGAATTATATAATCTGAAATTATGCGCAACTCCAGCCTCTTGCGCTTTCGGTCAGGCGTTCGTGGGAAAGCCTGTAGGAACACAGCCTTGTCGACCTTTGGCTTGTGCACAATGTCGCGGCTTGACAGCTGCTTCGACTGCGTGACCAGTTCCATCATGTTGTGCAGTGTTTGGCGCCTCGTCTTTTGTGACTTTGAATCGTTGCGCAGAACACTGTGAAGATCTTCAATGATCTTGTTGTCCGGTAATGTGCAGACAAGACCACTTAGAAGATGCCCTCCAGCTTGAGAATCGCATCTGTAAAAATCTTCTTCATAGGCAAGCATCATCAGTCGCACAGGCGGCGTGAATACCTGATTCAGGTCCTCCAAAAGCTGCATTGCCTTCCCGGAATCAGCCAGACACTGTTCCAATTGCAGAAGAGCCTGGTGGTCTTGCTTCATCATGTCCGCAGCGGCCTGCCACTTCAAGTCAAGAGGAGAATCCACTGGTCGGAATGGTAGAACTGGTCTGGATCTGATAGCTCTTGAAAACTATATTATTATAGTATTACTACTATAGTATAGTTGTTTGCGCATATTAATCATATCATAATATGGTCGGCATCTCACAAATGGGGACAATTTCAACTGCATGTTTTATGTAGTAATAGTTACCATTGAAACTAAAGCAGTAAATACGTTTGCCCTAAGTACGCGCCTGCTTCTTCTGCATGTCAGGGTGCAAGAGTTCTGAATAGCAGTCAGGCGGCGCACTTGCGCGACTCAAACTCCATGTGCGGTGCATGAGGAGATGCGTCGTGAGGTCAAATGTCTTCTCTGCCGTATCTGTGAAACTCGCAAACTCCTGTCAATGAAGTAAGTTCAGCAGTTCTGGGCTTTTGGCAGTTGGCACAGCTGCAGTACTCTGCAGATGCTCATCTTGCTGCCAGTACTGGGCCAATGCCATCAGCCGCTCAACATGGTCTTGACTGTTCTTCATGTTTCGAACCGATGCGCTGTACCAAGTCCAAGTTGGCCGACTGACCATTTGGAGTATTTGAACTTGTTGCCACAGGCGATCAGAAAGGCAGTAGAGAGCCAGTTTGAGCCCCCCTCCCAGCTTTTCCTTGAGAAGCGAAAACTGCTTCCGAACATTCACTTTCTCTTCTTCCTTCGGATCATCCATCTGGGCAATCGCAGCGAGCTCACGTTTCTGAGCAGCAACATCTGGGTCGATGTCTTTTTCCCAGAAATGGTACTTCAGCACCAACTTCAAGATGTTCCACGATGGCAGCTGCTCCTCACATGATTGGTTCCAGCTGAACCATCTGCTCAGCTTGGGAAGAGTTCCCTTGGACTGAAAAGCATCACCTGTTGGGAGTTTTCGCCAAACATCATGCATCGTTGAGAATGAGGGCATACCAAGGTCATCTCGGATCGTTTCCCAGCAATCGTGAAAAAGGGCACAGGACTCAGGGTCTTCCCTGCTCATCATCACATCCAGGAGCCGCAACTTGTCCTCATGAAAGCCTGATGTCCCGCACGGTCGGTAGCTAAGGGCCCAGATGTATTGAGAATACATCTGGGCCTGCAAGAACACACCACCACTGCAGTGCAGCAAAGAGAGTTTGACATCGCGGATACTGCGATGGTATATGTCCCAGCGAACGGATATCAACTTTCCAAGGTGGTGAATAGCGTACCTTGGGACATTGGCGAAAACAAAGTACTTTTCAGGATTCAGGATGACATATCAACTTCCCAACAGGCAACAAGTAAACAACCAAAATCGCACTTACTTAATTAATCTGCAAATCAAAATTGAATTGCTTCGGCCAAGGCACGCTGCAGCTCCAGTGCATGTTGGACCCTGGTCAAACTGTAAAACTAGCAAAGGCAGTGTTTTCCACCAGTCCGCATTCTGCGGCATCAAGGCATCTTCATCCCCAGAAGCCCGGCACTTGTGATACACACGATTTCTCGGCCCTTCTCGGTGGATCAAACGGTCATGTCCCGGCTGGACTGCAGATAGGCATATATCACTGGGAACGGAAAAGCTGTCAAGGCCAGACAGGCGTCCTGCTGTCAGTAAGTTCACCTGGTGGCTCACCGCTTGCAGATGACGGTAGGATGCAACACGCTGCAATTTGTTCTCCTGCAAACGGGGAATGCGCTAGAACCCAACAAGCCAACCCTTCCCAAAGACACTTCAGTCTCAGACACATATTCAACTTTTCCAAACCTCCCAACAGCTAAAGTGTGGGAAACTTGTTCGAAAGCATATATAATAGTATAGACAGCATTAAGATCAAAGCAACCGTACATTCAATTCAAAATGATCATCAGCCTTGTCCTGATAACTGGTAATACTACAATTTCTTATGATAACTTTCATTCGAAATAAAAACCTTCACTGTCACACATCCTTGGCGAGCTTCTCAATGAGGCTTGTCAAATCCATCTCACCAGGGGCGATATCGTCCAGCGGCATTATGACCTGGACAGGAGCAAATGCGGCTGTATTGTTCTCCCAGGAGTACGCAACTGTCACAAGAACTTCTTTCCCCGCATGCTTGGAGCCGTCGGCAATCAGGTTCAGATGATTGGTCCCTGCGAATGCAATCACAGCTCGGTCATCGTATATTTTTTGATGTCTTCTCATCCAAGCATCAGTAGCGTTGGGATGAGTGCCAGCAGCAGCTGATAACCTGCCACTGCGTTTCAAAAAATTGACAGCCTCCCGCATCGACAGGCCAGAATCTTTTGCATCCTGGATGATTTCAAAAATGGTGTCAGCTGACATTCGAACCCGCTTGGCAACCTCTCCACCGCCATTGGAACGACGTCTCGAGGGCACAGCTTCGGAACAGTCATGCTCATGAATAAAGTAGTTCAAGACAAAGTCATCCAAATGATGACTCAGGAACACAACCAACCCTTTCAACACACTGTGAAGGGTCATCCCTGTCTGGCTATCACGTGGCCAAATGTGTTTGTTTGTCGACCTTCTCCTTCTGTCGATTTCAAAAGAGAATTTCACAAGATCAGTCAGGAGAAGTGAAGCGTCATCTGGCAGAGAGGAAAGCTCTTGCTGCTCATGCATGGCCAGCCATTCGTTTTGCCACGTCTGCCACACCATCGCGTGCCTGCTTGAAATTGCATCGGCCAAGCCTTGCACTAAGCCACCAGGTAAAACACGAAGAGGCGCAATGTCATCACCGATGATGATTTCGACTGGCCCAGTCAAGTGAGCAACTGCACGAGCACAAATGTTTGCAAGTAAACTCCGACAAAAGTCAATGATTGACGAAGTTCGGCCGTCTCGCAAAACAAAAGCAATGAAAGCAATCAGGCCTGTAGATGTAGCAACATGGTGTGGCAATGCATTGTGCGGAAGGTCGGAACTTCTCATGTGCAGCCATTTGCACACATCATTCCCGGACAAAAGCTTTGTTTGACTAACTGCATCTTTCAAAAAGCAAACCCATCTGTATAACTTTCTCTTTTCTCCCTTGCTGATCAACTTCTCATGCAGAAGGTCCAGGCGCCACCACAGCTGAGCAGGTGTTACCGCATCCCTCTGAAATCGAAACGCAGCTTTGGACAGCAAAGCGCTATCACCATTGAGTGACAGCTGCTCACATTGCTCAAGTAAAAGCATATAAGGTCACAAACTGCCGACCTATTCATAAGTCATCAGTGTTGATTCATCACTCACCAATATTGTTGGTTGTGTTAATACCCAACTCGCCACAGGTACCAGTACTACCATCCATCACTATCGCTCTCAGTGTCATTGTAATGTTACTGCACAACATGTTTCAAATGTCCTGCATCAGTGACAACATACACACATGCTGCTTCTCGACTGCTCCTAACTGTATTATATCTGCCAAAACCATGTCAAGCACAAATGTTAAATTGGAAACGACTATGAACCTCAGCACTTGCAATCAACAACATGCAAAATTCAGTCATGAGCACAAGACAGATCACATCATCTCCGGAACGCAAAAACAAACACTCTATTGTTTTCTGTTTCTGGTCGCTCATTTGACTTGGTGCGGTCCGCTATTGAAGAGTTACTGAAGTAAAATCTTAGCAACGCACCGCAAACTGCCTGAAGACAAATGAAACTACATTCCAGGATTCCAAGCTAGTGGCATTGCCCTATGATGGGCGTGGAAGTATCTAGGGATACTGTGCGACAAAGGCTGCAACCCAAGGATTGGAATTATTTCGGAATCAACGATTCGAAGTTCCCACCTATCGAAAACTGCTGATTGCACAGACCATAGCTTTAACAAAAGCCTACCAAAGTCAGCAACTTGACAAACAGTCATCGTCTTCTATCGAGCGACGCCATATTTCTTCCCTTTTGCTTCAGCTTGAATATCCCACACTCCTACACCTAAACATCTGTACAGATCAGGTGGCAAAGTTATACGCTTCAAAGCCCTCGATTGAAATCAACCAAGGAAACCAGCACTAACATTGAATTAATCGATCTAATCGCTATATATCTAATTTGGCAATGTCGCTGCTGAACCATCTGCTTGCAAGTTCAAAGACTCAAACCAAAATCATGCCATGCTGTTCTCAAAACGACCAACTGGCTGACATTCAAAACTGACTCAAGAGTAACATGTCTAAGTGGAAGGTTCGGCAATGGTTTTTCTCAGGCTTCAAGCTCACATCTCTCCGCAAGCATGTGCCTTGCACGCCAAGCCGCTTTCTCCCAGACACGCTTGGATATGTGAGGCTCCACATAGTCCATGAGTTCCAGCGGCGGAGCGACACCCACCTGCTCATACTTCTTGATAATCAAACAAGCGATGTGCAGCCTTTTGTGAAGACGAAGTTCTGGGTCAACTTCAGCTGGAACTTCTCTATTGGGATGTTGATCAGCACCCATTGCTTAAACAAACTGAAGGCAAATGCGATGCACAGCTGAAGAATAATGAAGAATAAAACTGCAGGTTGCTCACATATCAGGTCTACAGTTCAACCTCTGTCTGATTTGGCTGGACAAAAACCTTGTCGCAATTACGCTCACAGAAAGCTAGTCAGCTAGTCTTGCGCGATGCAATCATTGACTTGATGTATGATTTTACCATTCCACTGAGAAAGACATTCATCTGGTTTAGCTTGGTCTTTTCTTCTACAACTAGCAGTAATGTTCATCTCTTTGACACGCACGTGATCTTGATTGATTAAATAGGTCTGAGATTTCGGCCAACAACAGTGGACCAGCCACCTGTCACCTGACAGCAGAAACTGTAATCTTCAATGCTGTGAGTCGAACAATGTGGTCGAAAACTAGAGTGCAAAGCTTGGTATCAAGAACTAATTCCAGAACAGTGGTTCACAGGACCTGGCCTGAACACATTTTTTCACTCTGCCAATTTCACTGCACACACGGCTGAAAAGAATGAATGCCGACACTGGCATGCTTGGGAGCTGCCAGCAGAAACACAACTCCTTGCAGCTATACTATGATTAATTACCAAAGCTCAAGGCGCAAACTACTGCTGTTGGTGAGAAAGGAAAGCCCGAACGATTGCACGTCCAAATTCCTTAGAATAAGCTTGGGATTCTTTCAGGCGTTCCTTATGGCCTGTGAACCCGCCCTCATTATCACGGCTCACTAATCCACCCTCTTCTCCAACATGGTAGCAACAAGAAGGCTTCGGTCGACCCAGTGCGCAAATGAATGGATCACAACTCCAAAGCTGAAGAGGCTTCAACGTTTCTCCACCAAAACAGTAGTGGTAGGTCAGGGTCTGCTCAGCTTCCACATAGCGCAAGACGGCAGCCATGCATCCACTATAAGGAAGCACCGAGTTTTGCGGTTGCTCCAATCCAAAACGCAACAAGGTCATGACCCCCAGCAGCACAAGAAGTGCTGAGATGTCGCCCAAACAATTTCCTTCCAGGACAAAGTATTTGCTCTCATCTCCAAGGTACATATTGTCAGCTGATCGCAGTGATTGCGCTCTGCACAGGACCACATAGCTGTTGCAAGGGCTTCCAAGCCACTCCAGAGCTCCTGGCACTGTAGCCGTGAGCAACAGCAATGCAAGCCTCAGGCCTGGTGCTTCCAACACATTGTGTTCCGGGTTCAAGGTCTTATCCATTGCAGCAGCCTTGAGTCCTGCTTCCAAAGCAGCTAAGGACAGATTTGCTTTGCCACAGAAAAACTCTACACTCTGCAACCAAGCTTTGCCACAGGAACGATGGTGCCATGTGCGCACCACAAGGCTCGTCAGCATGTCAATCAAAGGCATCCCTCGCATGAACGGGAAAGCCGCTTCCAGGTACAATGGCCACATTCGCTGAGCTCTGCATCCACTAAAGCAGTCATCGTACTCAAAGAATCTCAGCAAGTGTTTGCGCAAATCTCCAACATCAGCATCCCAGTGAGCGGGCCAACAGAGTTGGCCGTTGGAATTGTGAGGAAACGGTGCAAATTCTTCAAACATCGCTGCACAGATATCTGCGCTACATGTCTCCAGTTGATGCTGGAGCTGTTTCTCAATCTCGATTTTCTCCCTCACCGCTTTGAGAATGCCGTCCATCAGCACTAATTGACAATTGCTGAAGGAGAAATGATACAAGATATTGGTTCATGTCTTGATTGATTATGTTTCTCTTGAGCAACTTTTTTTTTCAACTTTGGGCAACTTTGAGCAACTTTGAGCAACTTTGAGCAACTTTGAGCAACTTTGAGCAACTTTGAGCGACTTTGAGCCACATGAGCTTTTTTGAGCAACTTTGAGCAACTTTGAGCAAACTTTGAGCAACTTTGAGCAACTTTGAGCAAATTTGAGCAAATTTGAGCGACGGTGATCCCTTATCGGACGATCGGACGTACTCTTTTTTTGACGATCTCCGTCACAATCGTTCGGCAACTGCGTAAAAGTTCCAATGAACTATGAAACTAAAACGCTAATATCCATGCCATGTCATACCTTCATATTCCACCTAGCGAACCTGCAAGGTGACCTCCCCTTGGGTCACTGCATGTGGCTCTCGCTTCAACATAATTCTAAATTTGATGGGAGTTCCATCAAAAAAACGCCTAGCCAACCACATCAAAAACAAACTACACATACGTCAGAGGTGAATGCTCAGAACCTCGCCCTCCTGCCACTCAATCTGCTCACAAAACCATTGGAGCGGGGACAGGGTCGCGCATCTCCACTTCCTGCACCAGATTTTCGACAATGTCATCATCATCCGGAGATTGCTCACGAGTCTCATGAGCTGAAGATGAGGAAGACACATTGTTGGCCAAGATATCCATGGGCACACTTTGCTGGCACTTGTAAGGACAAGCTCCACGACAGTTCTGGAAATTCCACCAGCTCTCCAGGCACTGCTGGTGATGAACATGCCCGCACAAAGTTGCCTCCGAAGGCATCACAGGACCCTCAGAGCCACGAAGAGGCTGCTGGCAAATGCAACACTTTTCACCTGAGTTTGCATGGACTTCTTCCGCCACCGCAACCGCAGCATTCGACTCAGATGCTTGCTCACCCACTTCCTCACCCACTGGCTCACCCACAGTCTCCGAAACTGCAGATCCCTGAAGGTTTTCAGCAGTAGCTCCTGCATTCAGTTCCGCCTCAATCTCTGCCGACACATCCGGCTCCTGAACAAAGAACCATAAATGTTTAGGCGCATCAAATAACAGAACGGACAATCATACAATGGAATTTTATACTGACTATCAAAGCTTTGAATTTATAAGAACAACGTTTAAACTAATCTGCACAGTACATCCCCCTTGCCATTTCATGGGTGAGGTGGGGGAGGGGGCATTTTGTAGTGAACCAGCCCTTTTCTCTACAAAATAGCTCCGGTACACAGTCTCCCTCCTACAAAATGGTCTGTCTATAACCCATGGCTCTACAAAATGGTAGTGCCTGTCACCTCTTTTGATCCACAAATATTTTGACAATTTTGTCAAAAAATGATCAAACCAGTGCATTCAGGATCTTATAAAACATGGGAATGTCTCAGAACAGGGGCGCCACAACTGAGTGCCCCAAGCCCTTCTTTTCTAACTAAAAAAAGTGAGCTTGGGGCACTCCTATTTTGAGACATCCCCACATATACAAATCACAGGGCCATTTTGTAGAGCATCTATCTTGGCAAGAACCCAGGAGCAAAAACGGTACTTTATGTGGACCCGGTGGAGGGGCCTCCACAGGGTCAACCCCTGCCATGGTTGACCCTCTGGAGGCCCCTCCACCGGGTCTACGTGTTCTAGGTTCGGAAGGCAATTGTAAAGGAGCAAAAACGATACTTTATGTGGACCTTGGGCGTGCAAGCTGGTGTTAGTCGGAATGTTGTAGCCTCCATTTTCGGCCATGTTCGACAATCTGGGGAGCTTATGGTGGGCCAAACTGAGGGGCTCCTTGGTCCCGTAAATTTTAAAGAGCAAGGAGCCCCTTATTTTTGACGGAGGTTGGGCCGTTAGGCGTCCATGTTGGGAGCATTTGGAGCTTGTTGTGACTAATTCACATTTTTAAAACCACCAAATCATACCCTTAAAAACCTCTACAAAAAAGCTTTTTGTTTGTTACAAAATGGTTTGTCTTGGTGCCCATAAATGATCATGTCATGCCTTCAAAATAAAAATGGTAAAACCAACAAATTACTACAAACTGGCAAGCTCGACCCCATTTTAAGGAACCATTCCGTGGAGGAAATGGCAAGGGGGATCATAGTACATGCATGGCTGCTAAACACAGCTCCAGGCTCACAACAATTACCCAAAACAAACACAGTCGCAATGAAGCACAGATCGAAAGATGTCTGTTTGAGTTTGTATCGTGTTTGAATTTGAGGTTTCCATATGTTTGGAAACATAAAACAGCAATGCGTCATTCCTTCAACACAAGGTAGTACATGCCATCCTGCCTCATCGGCTGTGAAACTCGGAACGACAGTGTCTGCAGTGTCAGCACGTCGGGGCTGCGGAGGCAAACGAGGCAAGGATGGAGCAACCACAATGACAGGACGAGCCATAGTAGGATCAGTAGGTACATGCACAGGGCCCCCAGCTTTGACTGCGGGTTGCAAAGCCACAGCTGTTGCCTTGGCCTTGGGAACGAGAGGAGGCCCCATGGAATTCACAGCACTGGCCACTGTCTGCGCAGGCACTGGTACTGGCACAGCTGGTTGGTTGGGTGGCACAGCTGCCTGATTGGAGGCAGCAGCTGCAGCCATCATCTTGGGCAAGCTCTGTTGACCAGTCTTGGCTTTGGCTGCAGCCTTGACCTTCGCATCCGGAGCATCTTGAGTCATCCAGAGAGGATCAAATCCTTCTTGTTCAGCTAAAGCTTCCACAAAATCATTCTGCAAGACTGGTTCCTGCCGAATTGATTCCAAGACTTGTACCATCCGGGGGTTGTTTGAAGTGATACGCTCATGCACTCGGCGCAGACGGGCGTTGAGGTCGCCATAGTTTTTCACCTTCAAGCGGCACACCGAGGTACACGGCTTTTGCCGTGTAAGCAACCATATGAGCTTTGCCAAGGATGCCGATGTCAAATCAGAGGTAGCTGTCGGATCCAGCTGCCCATCAACAGCTTCAACAGCATCAGCAAGACGGGACTGCAGGGTGGAAAATCACAAATGAAAACTGATGCCGCTGGCTTGGAAAACAGACCTAAAGAGTGTTGAACTAGCTAAGAGCGGCTGGGCATGCCACGAAAAAAACATTGGTACACCATTGGTTGACTACTACAGCATTGACCAATTCTGACTACTACTTCTAAAACAATGGGCACTCTAAGTCTAAAAACTTACAATAGTTATTATATGCAAACCATATTTTGACTGCAGAAACTCCCAACCTGGCCTTCGGCAAGCCTCTGATCAACGCTGTGCTTCGGGTGATGGTGCAATTTTCTCCACGGGTGTTGTACAGGTCTGCCCTGTGCTGATCCAAGCCCCTCATGGCTCGGTTGAAAGCTTGTGCAAAAACATCTCCAGCAGCAGAAGCAGCAGCACTGGAAGCTGCATTTGGATCTGTGCTCGGTGACTCGGCAGGCACTGTCTGCTGCGCATCTTGTACCGGAACAGCAGGGGAAGAAGACTTGGCACCTGAGTCCGCTGGTCGCCTGTGAGCCCGTTCGTCACCTGAAGTCTCTGACCCACTGGACTGCCCTGGGGCATTGGGAACAGCAGCACCCATGGCGGCCGCCATCATAGGATTCATGAATGCGGCTGCCATTGGATTCATTGCCAGCATGGGGTTCATCATCGGGTTCATCATCATCTGATTTTGGGCAGCAGCTTGGGCCCTCTTCACCCTTTTATTTTGTCGAGCTGTGCGACCCATTGCAAACAGAGAGCGGACTGGCGGGTCACAGATCACCGAGTGACGTTTATGTGAGTTGGATCTTGAACAAAAGCCTAAAAGCCATTGACAAAATAATATGGACGTATCCTGCAATAAAAAATGCGACAGCGCACTGTACAAAAAAAAAAAAAGCACATTTACATCCCACTCTTGAAGTGAAGGTAAGTAGCTAGCTGATCGTACAATCCATCGAAAGATATGCAATGTTGGATCAACATTCCAAGGCAGGCAATGTGTTGTTTTTCAAATCTTGCTAGCATCACAATCCACTGAATTGAGGAGCAACACTGCCTGCAATGCCCCTTGCCCATGTAGCTGCGCTATTTGAGGTCTGCCTGAAATCCGCCCACACCGCTTTGGCGGTGAAGGCGTGCTTATTGGGGGGCAACAGCAACACTAAATGCTCAATGACATTTGTTAATATAGCAGTCGCTATATCAGCTTTAGCTGGGGGGGGGGCCAAAAACGGTTTCGCACCGAGACCAGACCCCAAAAACGGTTTCGCACCGAGACCAGAATACGGTGGTGTTTTCGACATTTTTCGAGGATTTTTGGGTGTCTGAGCGCAAGAGGGTATTGAAATGGAATTTTGGGTCATTTTGGTAGCTTTCCGGCAATGGAAAAACGGCCAAAAATGAAAAAAACATTGTACATAGCAAGATTTTGCAGGGTTTTTGGATGCCAGAGCATTGAAAACACTGCAAAAACAAGTGTTTTGGACTGACGTTATAGCAAAAAACGTGTAAATTACCGTATGCTTGACTGGAAACATTACAAAAACACTGTCAAAAGCAATGTTTTGGAAGGATTTACTGCCTTTATGGCAAAAAACGTGTAAATTACCGTCTGTTTGACTGGAAACATTGGAAAAACACTGTCAAAAACAATGTTTTGGAAGGATTTCTTATTGAAACTTCTTAGCTTGAAGAGCCCCCACGGGGGAAAACCACCCTTAGCCCCTCTCACGGACCGAAATAAACCTGCGGTGTGGGCGGCCACCCCACGCGAAGCGGGGTGAATAATGCAAATATTCACACTTGATGACAAACAAATCTTGGTCTCATGGCACATGTGCGAATCCAGGTGGTGAGAAACATAATGGTGTTCACTGCTTTACGTTTCAGACGGAGAGCAACGCAACAACATCTCAAACCTTTGCGAAAAGCAAGATCACTGAAATCTCACTGGCATCAATTTGCCTCAAGCTTCCTGTCCATGTAAAGATAAAGCTGACAATCCAGTCACCTTAGCTTTGGGCTGAGTCTGAGAAACGCCAAAGCAGAATACAAGTAAAACGATTCAAAGGAAATATATCATAGTGCCATCAGCAGCAAATCGCAAAACACATGACAATACCAAAGCATTCACTTGAAACCTCTTCTGAGGGCGCAGCTCGCAATCATTATACCTTTCAGCAAAATGAAACACGGTCAGCTGCGGACCGAGCCTGACACTGCACTTTGCCAGCCCAAAAAAAAATGGACATTTGTCAGAATGAAATCGGGACTCACCAAGTCAAGAGTGGCTTCGTCTCGGGCCCAAACGTTCATCTGAGCCCCAGCTGAAGGGCTCACATGAACACCGCCTGGGAGGCCACAATTTCAAATTTACAAAGTGGTGTTCATAGTCTTTGCTGCGAAGGCAACACTGCAATCCTTTAACTTTAAGCTGGTATCTTCTGGATCCAAAAATACGCGTACACTGTACATCTGGACCCTTGCTGTGGGGGCTTTTTGGCCCCCCTATGCAACAGTCTCTTCTTTAAGGGCCCCAACATACGTGTACATCTGAGCCTCGGCTGAAAAGTTGAGATGAATACCGCTTTGGTTTCAGGAGCAACAATATAAGACCATTAACATTAACAGTGGCCTTTCAAAACTGATCAGCAGCATCAAGGAAGGAGTGCGGTAAAAATACCAGTGACCAACTAGCAAGTAGCATCTTTTCATCAGACCCTAATGAAGTCGAGAGCCCTGATACGCGCACTGAGTTGAAGCGCAGTGAGTTCAACTAGGATTAAAGACTGGTTAATTGGACATTTTTTTGCGACTTGCCAGGCCTTGTAAGTCTCGAGCGTCCAAGTGAATTCAGCGTAGTCATCATCTACTACTGAATGAAGACACCTTGACACACTAATGAAAGTTCCTGTGGGCAACTTTCAAACAGGCTCAGTAAGAACAATTGAAACTCTTCTTTTCGATGAACTCGAACACTCCAAGGCTGAGACTCAAGCAATGCAGGCCTGACGCCAAAACACCTCATCACTAGGGATCTCATTGGCACGCGCGTGGGGCGCAAAGGCCCACCTTTAATTGAAGCCCGACCTTGGACATGGCACGGCAAAAATCCAATCTTAGTAAGTGTGTGATGTTTGGAAACCATCAATACCTGAAATGCCCCACAAGAAAGCCCATGAATGAAGCAACTACATTAATTAAACATATATAACATATTCATATTATGCAGACCACCCGGAACAATATTATATATAGGCTGAACAGCGGCCAGCAATCAAAGCCAAAA